ATTTGAGTCACACTTCCAGCTCTTTTATACATTGGTGATTTTCAAGGTAGTGTCTTCCTTTATTCCTGGGCTAGCCTCCTAACTTGTGAGTCCCCCGTGTCACTGGGGATAAAAGGCCCTTATCACTGTACCCAGACATTGCACATCCCCTGTCACTGAGACATTGTGTCTAATCGTGGAGATTTCTTTTTGCCCCAATTGTTCTTAAATCACAATTCCCTGTTCTCTATTTCCTAAGGAGCTAGAATTACAGACTTGAGCCACCACACCCAGCTTTATTTATCTTTTCAAAGGACCAACTTTGTTTCATTGATTCATTGTTATTGTTCTTATGGGCTACACTTCATTAATTTCTGCCCTGGTTTGTTATTATTTCTTTCCATTTGCCTTTAGTTTTGGCTTATATCATTTTTTAAGAGCTTCAGAGGCATTGTTATGTTATTTGAAATTTCTAGAGGTTTTTTTTTCAGGTGTGAACTTGTGCATATAAACTGCAGTTGCTGTGTCCCCCAAGTTCTGCATCTGGAGATTTTTCTGTTTTTTTGTTTATTTCTTCAGTGAACTTCTGATTGCTCAAAAGTAGATGGTTCAGACTCTTGTTAAAATGTTTTCTCTCATTGTTGACTTCTAGATGTATTCCATTGTAGTCGATAAAATACAGTAAACCATTTCAATTTTCTTGTGTTTGTTGAGACTTACTTTATGTCCTAAAATATGATCTGTTTGAGAGAATGTTCCATGGGCTGCTGAGAGGAAGGTATGTTCTGCTCCTGTTGGATGGAATATTCTGTAGGTGTAAATAATTCTGTGTGAGCTGCGGTGATGATTAATTCTGAAGTTTCCTTGTTGATTTTATTTTCCTTTGTCTAGATGACCCATCTATTGCTGAGAGCAGGGAATTAAACTCCTCCACCGTGATTGTATAGGGTTCTAGCTGAACTTTTGTGCCAAGTAGCATTTCTTTTATGTAACTGGGTTTCTAACATTTGGGGGTGTACACACTTCCTATAGTTAAAATCTCCTGATGGGTTATTCCCTTTACCAACACAAAATGACCCTCTCTGCCCATTTCTGATTGGCTTTCATTTAAAGTTTGCCTTGTCAGCTGAGTTTGCTATTTCTGCTTCCTTTCCAGCTGAATTTGTTTGGAAAATATTTTTTCTGTCTTTTCACTTTAAGTTTGTGTTTGTCTATCACTGAGGCACATGGGTTGTTTTTGTTTTGCTTTGTTTTAAACTAGTCTGTGTCTTTTGATTGAAGAATTGAGTCCATTAGCATTCAGAGTTTTCATTGAAAGGTATGTAGTAAGTGAGGCACCGATGGCTCACACCTATAACCCCAGATACTCCAGAGGCTGGAACCTGAAGATCAGAGTTCAAGGCCAACCCAGTCAGTAAAGTCCATGAGAGACTCTTATCTCCAATTAAACCACCAAAAATATGGAAGCACAAATGATAGAGCACTAGCCTTGAACAAAAAAGCTCAGGGAAAGCACTCAGACCCTGAGTTCAATCTCTAAGACTGGAGCATGTGTGCACGCATACACACACACACACACACACAATACAGCCAGCCACCAGTGGCTCATGCCTCTAATCTTAGCAACTCAGGAGGCTAAAATCTGAGGATTGTGGTTCAATGCCAGCCTGAGCAAGAAAGTCTATGAAACTCTTAGCTCCAATGAGCCACCAGAAAACTGGAAGTAGCACTGTGGCTCAAGTGGTATTTGTTTGTTTGTTTGTTTGTTTGTTTTGGGTCCGGTCGTGGGGCCTGAACTCTGGGCCTGAGCGCTGTCCCTCAGCTCTTCAGCTCAAGGCTAGCACTCTACCACTTGAGCCACAGCGCCACTTCCGGCTTTTTTCTTTTTTTGTTTATGTGGTGCTGAGGAATGGAACTCAGGGCCTCATGCATGCAAGGCAAGCACTCTACCCACTGAGCCACTTACCCAGCCCCCGGCTCAAGTGGTAGAGTGCTATCCTTGAGCAAAAAGAGCTCAAGGACAGAGACCAGGCCCTGAGTTCAAGCCCCAGGACTGACAGGAAAAAAAAACCCAAACCTCTGTGTGTGTGTGTGTGTGTGTGTGTGTGTGTGTGTGTGTGTGTGTGTGTGTGTGTGGTGGTAGTAATAGTAATGTAGTAGTAATAGTGCTTTGTTGTTCTCCTCATGTCCCATCCTTCTCTGATCTTCATTTGTTTATCTGTTTTCCTGGTGAGTTTATTATTCTCATGTTTTCACGGCAACATTTCTGTACTTCTGTGCGGAGAATTCCTTTGAGTATCTTCTGCAGTGATGGTTTTGTGGTTGTAAATTGCTTTCATTTGTGTTTATCATGGAAGATTTTTATTTCTTCTTCAATTATGAATGATGTCTTTGCCAGCCACAGTAATCTAGGTGGACAGTTAGTTTCCTTCAGCACCTGAAGTGCATCCCTCCACGCCCTCCTGGCTTTTAAGTCTCCCACTGAGAAATCTGCTGTCATTCTGATGGGTTTGCCCTGATAAAACTTCTCCCTGGGAGCTTGTAATTGTCTTTTCTTGTTCTATATACTTAATGTTTTAACTGTCATGTGACATGGGGAGGTTTTATTCTGGTCTTTTCTGTTTGGAGTCCTAAAGGCCTCTTGTACTGGAAATGCTGTAGTTAGTCAAGATTTGGAGAGTTTTCTGCTGCTACTTTAATGACTATGTTTCTTATGTCTTTAGCATGCTCTCCTCTTCCTCCTCCTCTTCCTCCTCCTCCTCCCCCTCCTCCTCCTCCTCCTCTTCTTCCTCCTTCACCTTCTTCCTTCACCCATTGTGCATAGGTTTGGACTCTTAAAGAAGTCTCAACTTCATTCTTTTCTATATCTTTATCTTATTTTTCTATCTCCTCTCTCTTGTCTTCAAGCCTTGACATTCTGCCTTCTATTTAAACCAGTATGTACTATAAAGATTTCAACTGAACTTTTTCTTGACTTATAGAGTTTTTCATTTCCAGAATTTCAATTTGGGTGTTTTGGGGTTTTTTTTTCCTATACTTTTACTGAATTTCTCTTTCCTGTCTCAGGTTACAGGCATGAGCCACCATACACCAATACCATCATTCCTTGAGTTTAATATTTGAGATTTCACCTATCTTATTATCCCTCAGACACTGTTGTATGATTATTGACTTTTGGGGGTAGCTCATTCCTTTTTTTCCTGTTTCTGTGTTTCTACCTTAAGATATGCTCCTCCAAAGTTCTGCTCCCCCATTTCTCTCAGCACAGGAGCTCCAGCTTCTCTTCAGTGAGCTCTGGCCTCTTCTCTCTAGGCCTCCAATCTAAAATTTGGTTTGCAAAATGAAAATCACAGAGCTCCTGTCATGTGTGTATGCACAGACACCACCAGGTGGGCTGGGAATTTAGGACAATGCCCCGGAATCCTGCTTGCTCCCTCCCACACTTGCCCTTGGCCTTGGGCTGGAGACCCAGTCATGGATGGCCCCTCCTAGACTCCTCATCTTTGGGGCCCTTCTCTCAGAGAAGCTCTCATCCCCCTGCTCGCCTTTTGCTCTTGAAGAAAACTCATCATCTGGGGACCAAGCCTTTAGCACAGGAGCCTTCCAGCAGCATCTCACACTGAGTGATAATGGAGGGAGAGAGGAAGGAAGAAGGGAAGGAGAAGGGGAGGGAGGGGAAGGAATGAAGAGGAAGGAATGGGGAGGGGAAAGGAAGGGAAAAGAAGGACAAGAAAGGGAGGTGGGGCATCTACAGATGAGACTACCATCTGAAGCATGGGGTGAGTGGCATTGGTAAAAACTAGACAAATGATGCTGCATTTTCCCACTGGCAGGGGTGTGTATGATGGTGTGAAAACAGACTCCTTGCTCTAGGCTGAATTTGGTTTATAAAGGCAATCCAGGGTCTTGGGAAGTTGGGAAAGGTTTAAAAAGTGCCTTTTATTTTCCTAAGAGAAGCAGAGAAATCACCCTTTAGATCAGATAGTAGTGAGAGCCAAAGAATTCTCTTACAGCCCCATTGCCGATCTTTCAAGGGTGGTGTTTTGAGATTAGGTTTGTGGACCAGGTGCCTCCTCCCAAGGTTCTTGCTGAGCTAAAACCAGCTTCCTCTCTAGAAGGGTGCTGTGGCTGGTTCTGTCATCCCAGCTACTCAGGAGGCTGAGATGGGAGGATCACAGTTCAAAGCCAGCCTGGGCAGAAAAGTATGTGAGACTCTTATGGCCAATGAACCAGGAAAATGTCAAAAATGGAGCTGTGCCAGGTGCTAGTGGCTCACGCCTGTAATCCTAGCTACTCAGGAGGCTGAGATCTGAGGATAGAGGTTCAAAGCCAGCCCAGGCAGGAAAGTCCATGAAACTCCTATCTCCAATAAACCACCAGAAAAACCCGGAAGTGGTGCTGCAGCTCAAGTGGTTGAGCATTCTCCTTGAACTGAAGAACTGAGGGACAGTGCTCAGGCCCAGAGTTCAAGCCCCACGACCAACAAAAAAAAAGTGGAGCTGTGACTCAAGTGGTAGAGTATAGGCTTGAGTGGAAAAAGCTAAGGGACAGCACTCAGGCCCTGAATCCAAGCCCAAGTAGCAGCACAGAAGGGGAGGGCAGAAAGGAGGGAGGGAGGGAAGGAAAAGAGAGAGAAGGTGCAAAGAACTGAGCCAGGCACCGGTGGCTCATACCTGTCGTCCTAGCTACTCAGGAGGCTGAGATCTGGGGATCACGGTTCAGAGCCAGCCTGGGAAGGTAAGTCCATGAGACTCTTATCTCCAATTAACTATCAAAATTCCAGAAGTGGAGCTGTGGCTTAAGTGGTAGAGTGGTCTCTCTGAGCACAGAAAGCTCAAAGACAGTGCCCAGACCCTCTGTTCAAGCCCTAGGACCAGCACAGTAAAAGGAAGGATGGAAAGGAAGGAAGGAAGGAGGGAGATAGCGGGAGCAGAGGTCTGTGTGACGCGGGGTGCAATGGCTGGGGCAACCACCAGGGGGCAGTGTGGTCACATCCTCCCTGCCCTGCCCTTTGTCCACAGCTATAGAACACTGGCCACGGAGCATGAGGCCCTCATGCAGAAGTACCTGCACCTGCTGCAGATTGTGGAGACGGAGAAGACGGTGGCCAAGCAGCTGCGGCAGCAGATCGAGGATGGCGACATCGAGATTGAACGGCTGAAGGCAGAGGTGACCAGGACGGGGGACCATGAGGGGACTTAGGACGGGGGGCTGGGCGGGGAGGGCTCCAGACCCAAACCCCAGGCCCCAGTGGGATGAGGACACAGGATGGGAGAGGCAAAGGGGTCGTCCCCAGCCCCTGATCCAAAACGTGGAGACATGGGCAGAGTGGGGACCCTATGGTCAGACCAGGTTTGAGCCATCTGTGCCACTCACCTAGTGCCTCCAGGGCACATCCCCAACTTCTCTGTTCCCTGGCTGTCTCCTCTTATGGGCAAGTTGCCGGACCATCTAGAGCCACCCTGGCTGGCCACCACCTCAGCCAGCCTGAGTCCCTGGAGGCACGGGTCACGGGGATCCTTCTGTGTCACCGGCTCTGTGACCAGGACCAACCTGTCACCCTCAGACTAGCCCAGGAAGCACTGCAGCCCACTCCCCAGGACTCACTTACAACCAGACCCTCAGCCCACCTTGGACCTCTTCCTAAATCCCAGAATCTGCTGAGCACCAGTGGTTCATCCACTGTCATCCAAGCCACACAGGAGGCTGAGATCTGAGGATCATGGTTCAAAGCCAGCCTGGGCACGAAAGTCTTAAGACATTTTCCTTCAATTAACCACCAAAAAGAAGCTACAAGTGGAGCCGTGGCTCAAGTGGTAGAGCACTAGCCGTGAGCAATAGAAGCTCAGAGATAGCGCCCAGGTCCTGACTCACCCACAGATCTCATCCTCACCCCAAGTCCCCTCCTCTGAGGTCACCCAGCACCAGCTGGTGCTGCAGAGCTGCGTACCACACCGTATTCCAGCCCTGGCATCTGCGGGCACTTCAATTTGGCATGCCCTGCTCGTCCCCACACCTCCCACCTGGCCAAACCCTGCCAGGGGTCAAACGCCTCCTCCTCCTCCAGGCCTAGCCGTGGCGCCACCATCTGCGCCCTCAGACACCCAAACACACAGCTCACAACCCACACCTTGCGCCCACGCGGGTTCTGTGTACGCCTGCCAGGCCCAGGGAAGGGCGGTGCAGAGTGCACTCATGCCTGGCATGCTGTGGGAACCCCCACTACCAGGGCATGGCGGGGGACGGGCACCCAGAGCCGCGCGGTGTGAGCCCGCCTCACAGGGTCTTTCTGCAGCCACGAAGGTGGGGACCGGGTTGCGCATGGGCAGGGAGGTTTCAGGGCTCCATGGACCAGAGGAGGCGCAGGTGCAGAGAAGGGACCCCCTCCCCCATGGGGCTGGGGAGCAGGAAGCAAGTGGGTTCCCTGTGGGCAGGGTGAGCAGGGTTAGGGCGATGGCCGGGACCCCGATGTGGTGGAATTTGGAGCAGTGTTTGCCATGGGTGCACTGCCCCCCACGCCAGATGCTCTCAACCAGCACTCAGAAAGGCCAGCTGGGTAAAGCCCCCCCTCCCCCCGTCACTCTGTCTCTGGCACACTCACGGTGGCTGTCTTTGTTTCATAGTAGCTCTGTGTGGCTTTGTGGCTTTGTGTGGCTCCTCCCACCCCTGTATCTGTCTGTGGTTCTCTATAGTTCTCTCTGTCTCTCTCTCTCTCTCTCTCTGTCTCTCTCTCTCTCTCTGTCTTTCTCTCTCTCTCTGTCTCTCTCTGGCGCACACTTCCTCTGTGGCTCTCTCTGCCTTTGTGACTGTCTCTTTCTCTGTGGCTCTGTGTGCGGTTCTCTCTCTCTCTCTGCTTTTGCTCATGGCGCTCTACCAACTGAACCATGCCTCCAACCCTGGGTTGTTTCTTCTTTTTTTTTGTTTAATTGGCTCTATCTTAATGTCCTCCTCTCATCTAAGTCGATCTAAGAAGCTGAGTGCACCCCCAAAACCCGATTAAAACAAAGGAAATAGGAAAATCACGTCCTGCCTGCCCAGCGTGCCTCTGCTGGTAATTTTTGTGACTGTAGTCCACTTGAGAGCTAAGAGGTTCGGGTCAGGCTTACAGCAGCCCTCGAGTTGTACTCGCAAGCAAACACTGCAACTCCTACAAAGAGTCTGGAAGGAACTCTAGAGATCTTATCTTTACATGGAACCCCAACATAGAAAATAAGTAGAGGGGAGCGGATCCAAGATGGCGATGAACCAGTAGGGAAACACCACAGCTCTTTCCAACTGAATAGATAAGTCAGGTTTCAACATGCAGTTGCCCCATGAGATCGACAAAAGCAAAAAAGAGAACAACCAGAGAGAAACAGGAACTGAACAAAGAAAAGACAAAAAAACCCTCAAAACTTGCACAAGGGCAGAAAAAGTGCGCAAAGACTCCATCCCCATCCCCCACAGCTCCCAGCCACCAAGCCATGAAAGCTGCCTGGCCCGGGGCCGCCTGGGATCTCAGAGCCACAAGCGGACTGTGGAACCCAAACGCAGAAAACTCCCTCCGTGCCAGACCCGGACAGTGAAGGCAGCGACAGAGATCGCAGGCAAGGCACCATGAAACCCAGACCCCAAGCTCCCACAATTACCACAACAGAGGGAGGTGGCAACTAGTGATCTACAGCACACAGAGACAGCGATCTGCCACAGCACCACCAACCAGTTCCAGGATTAATGAGTACCCCACGGGGAGCTCCTCCATGGGGGATGCCCCCCCCCCACCATCCCAGGAACCACGCGGGCTCCAGCAGCTTGTGAAGCCAGCCCACCTGTAACTGTGGGAAGGCTTCAGCAGCCTCACCAGTGTGCCCCTGGCGGGGATTAAGCAGCCTCCCCCGGCAGTCCCTGGCTAAGTGGAGCTGGGAATGGTGCATAAGCTCTAGCAGCTGGAGCAGTGCCCCTAACGCGCTGGGAACTGACAAGCAAGTGTACCCTAATCAGGAAACACACACCATGAAACACACACACATGCTCCAGCTGCAACCCCGGAAAGAACTCCCCAGTGACAGCAAAGAAATGGAGAACAAAAGATTAAATAAAGAAATGATGGCAGAATTGGCCAAAGTAATTAAAAAGAGCAATGTCAAGAGTATAAAGAAGAAATATCAGTTGGGCTCCGGTGGCTCAGGCCTGTATTCCTAGCTACTCAGGAGGCTGAGATCTGAGGATCATGGTTCAAAGCCACCCCAGGCAGGAAAGTCCATGAGACTCTTATTTCCAATAAACCACCAGAAAACCAGAAGTGGCGCTGTGGCTCAAGTGGTAGAGTGCTCGCCTTGAGCTGAAGAGCTCAGGGACAGTGCCCAGGCCTAGAGTTCAAGCCCCACAACTGACCAAAAAAAGGCAATCCAAGACCAAAAAAAGAGATGCAATCAAGAATAGTCATAGCACATACCTCCTTAAAAGATGAAATTAACACGCTGAGAATCCATATAGAAACTATAAATACAGACTATCAGGAGTTAAAGATAAAACAGAGAAGCTGGAGATGAAAGTCATAGATATGGGAAAAACACTTAGAAATTGCCAAAGGGAAGTCCAACACCTGGCAGACAATGCCAGGAAATCTAATCTCTGTATAATTGGGATTGGTGAAGGAGAGGAATACCAGAATAGAGGGATGCAACATTCATTCGATAAAATTATTACAGAAAACTCCCCCAGTCTCAAAAGAGACATAACTGAAGCATCCAGAACACCTAGAAGACAGGATCCTAGAAGAAACACTTCTAGACACATTGTAGTAAAGACACGAGACCTGAATTTCAGAGAGCTGATTTTAAATGCTGTAAAACCAAAGAAGGAGCTATACTATAATGGAAAGGAAATTAGAATCACTGCTGACCTCTCCATACAAGGAGAGTCTGGAAAAATACCATCCAATCCCTGAAAACCATTAACTGTCATCCCCAAAGTGGTCTATCCAGCAAAATTACCATTCACATTCAATAGAGAAACTAAATCATTTAATATTAAAGAAAATTTAAGCCGGGCGCCAGTGGCTCACACCTGTAATCCCAGCTACTCAGGAGGCTGAGATCTGAAGATCATGGTTCAAAGCCAGCCTGGGCAGGAAAGTCTGTGAAACTCTTATCTCCAATGAACCACCAGAAAACGGGAAGTGGCGCTGTGGCTCAAGTGGTAGAGCACTCGCCTTGAGCTGAAGAGCTAAGGGACAGCGTCCAGGCCCAGAGTTCAAGCTCCATGACTGACCAAAAAAAAAAAAAAGAAAGAAAGAAAAAGGAATTCATGAACAAGAAGCCAGCACTACAAAAAATACTAAATGGAGGAATATAGCCCAAAGAATATAATCAAGACCAGGGAACCACATCAGACAGAAATCTAATGGAGACTTCACTTTATTAATATGAAATGCCCTTCTTTGTTTTCTCTAAGTGTAATTTGAAATATGTTTTATCTGATATTAGTATTACTACCCCAGCCTGTTTTATGAGAACCAATTTCTTGGAAGGCTTTGTTCCAGCCTCTTACTTGAATAGTTAATATTTGAAAACCTCAAGGCCATAATTAATGAAAGACAAGGAAAGACAGAGGAATTGTTGCAGATTAGGTACTTAGATAGGATAACTAAGCAGGCTAGATTAGATTTTGTGATGGGAATAGAGTATTAGTGAAAAATGCTGGTGAGTATTAATAAAGCCAATAAACTACAGCAATTTAGCTTAAAACATTACATCCCTTGGTAATTATACTAAAAGTTCTGTGGGTTTTCAGCCTTAGGAGATACTGATAAATGACAAATTGCCCTTTGAAATACTTTTGTAATTATTCTATAAATCTAAAATTTTCTCAGAATACAAAGTCAAGGAACTGTGTTTCCTCAAAGTCCCTTAAGTAGACTATAGGAAACTTTAGTGGTTTGAGAGAGCAAAAACATATCAAATTTGAAATGTATTATGATATTGAAAATAACTATCATGATCCTTACAGAAATCCTTTTACTGTCTTACTGTACATTCTTTTTTTTTTTTTTTTCCGGTCGGTCGTGGGGCTTGAACTCTGGGCCTGAGTGCTGTCCCTCAGCTCTTCAGCTCAAGGCTAGCGCTCTACCACTTGAGCACAGCGCCACTTTCAATTTTCTGGTGGTTTATTGGAGATAAGAGTTTCACGGACTTTCCTGCCTGGGCTGGCTTTGAACCTCAATCCTCAGATCTCAGCCTCCTGAGTAGCTAGGATTACAGGCGTGAGCCACTGGCACCCAGCAACTACTCATTCTTCAAAGTACACCTACACCTCAAACTTGGAGCTAGTCAATTAGTGGCTTGTGGTCTTTGTGTTTTGGCAGATACTTATTTAGTATCTGGGGACAATTAATCACAGCAAGAATACCTTCAAGTTTTGATGTTTCACTGCTTGTATTTATTGAATTTGCATTTTATTGTTATCTTTGTGTTGTAGAAAGTATTCTTTTCACAACCATGCATCACTAGCTTCGTAGATTGGTAGGGGTATAAAATTTGAGACAGAAATTTTAATGGATTAGCTCAGAAATACTAACACAAATGTAAACTGAGAAGAGCACTTCATTAAAAGGAAAACTTGCAAGAAATAGGTACTATTGAAATGTTGAATTTTAACAATTAGTTGCATTAGTATGTTGTCTGAAATGAAGCTCTGTAAAGAGTAGCTGCAAGTACTATGATGTTTTCTTTAATGACATTTCCACAGAATGTTTCAGGACATATTTATTAACTAAGGGTATGGATTAAAAAAATTAGTACCACAGACTTTGTATCCAGAAACCTAGACTTAGTTGTGTAAATTTAAAAAACAAAGTCTAAAAAGCCTTCATTTGCTCACTAATAAAGTGGGGTTAATGAAAAACTTAAATCACAGCAGTAGTGAAGATTAAAATAAATAATAGAACAAATACAAAAGTTTCAATAAGCATCTTACAAAAAGAAATATGGTTATTGCTTTCATTGTTATTGCCACTGTATTATTGTGACATATTGGAAAATTTTCCTGTAACAATGTGCATTTAAAAAAAAAGTTCTAGGAAAAAAAAAATAGGTATAAGAAGCCAGGTGCCGGTCATCCCAGCCACTCAGGAGGCTGAGAGCTCAAATCATGGTTTGAAGCCAGCCCAGATAGAAAAGGCAGAGGGAGTATCCACTTTATGTCTTCATGTGCTGGTGCTGGCGCTTGAACCCTGGCCCACGCTCCTGCTTGGCGTTTTTACTCAAAGCTGGTACAATACCACTTCAGCTACACCTCCTCACTCGGCTTTGTTTTTGGATGGTTCATTAGCAATAAGAGTCCCTCAGATCTCATCTCCCAGGCTGGCTTCAAACCAGGATCTTCAGATCCTAGCCTTCTGAGTAGCTGGGATTGCGGGCCTGAGTCACTAGTGGTTGGCTTGAGAATCATATGTTGTTGGTTTGGTTTTTTTTCATTGGTTGTGAGGCCTGAACTCTGGGCCTGGGCGCTGTCCCTCAGCTCTTCAGCTCAAGGCTAGCACTCTACCACTTGAGCCACAGTGCCACTTTCAGCTTTTTCTGTTTATGTGGTGCTGAGGAATCGAACCCAGGGCCTCATGCATGCAAGGTAAGCACTCTACCACTGAGCCACCTTCCCAGCCTGAGAATCATCTGTTTTAAAGACACATATGCATATGCATTTATGTGTATACACACACACACACACACACACCATCACCACCATCCCAGAGAGAAAAAAGAATACACTGTGCAAATCCTAAAACTAGCAAAAAAGAAAAAGAAAAAAAGCTGGGTTGGGCTGATAGCATTAGACCACAGTAACTGACAGCCCTGTGTGAACCTCTGACCTGTGTGTGTGTGTGTGTGTGTGTGTGCGTGCGTGCACACAGGTGCGTGTTTCCTTTGCCCTTTAAACCACAGATCTAGAGCTGAAAGAATCAAGGGTCCATTTCAGTGGATCAAACATTCTAGAAGGGTTAGAAGAAGGCGGGGGAGGAGAGGAGGGAGAAAAGCCCGGTCTCTCCGTATCTCTGCATTAGATATTCTCAGCCAGCTCTCCAGGCGCAGCACACTCAGGTTGCGGGGGGGGGGGGGGGGGGGGTAATTTTAGCAACCGAGGAGTGGAGGGCGGACTCCGTGTTGCTCTCCCAGGGCCTCCGTGAGCTCAGTCATGAGCACCATTCATCCTGCCTCATGCGAGTTCTCTGGAGGAGACCTGGAGGCCACGTGGGCTGCACACTCCCGGCTCCCTGGCTTCTATCTTTAGATGAGTGGCACTCGGTGACTGCTGAGGGTTTTCCCCTGGTTGAGTGTTTTGTGGCTGTCATTCTTCCAAGCGTGTGTATGTGTTTGAACTCAGGGCCTCGTCCTCACGCATGGCTTTTTCACTCAAAGCTGGCACTGTACCTAGACAGTATTCTGCAAGGCTTTAGCCAGTGGCCTGTGCCCAGGGCCCTACAGAATCTCGGATCTTCCCATTCAATGCTGGAATCACCTGATGATTCCTCTTCCTGCTTTGCGCTGAGATCCCTGGGAACACAGGCTAGGGCTGCTTCATTCCTGGCCCTACAGGTTCTTGGAACCTGCTATAAAGCTGTATAAAACCTTTGTAAATAAGTGATTCCCTGAGCGTTTGCTCAAGGCTAGCACTCTACCACTTGAGCCATGGTGCCACTTCTGGCTTTTTCTGAGTAGTTTATTGGAGATAAAAGTCTCATGGACTTTCCTACCCTAGCTGGCTTCAAACCATGAACCTCAGCTCTCAGCTTCCTGAGTAGCTGGGCTTATAGGCATGAGCCATAGGCACCTGGATCAATAAGTGAATTTTTAAAGATATTTTTATTAAGATCGCTGCTTGGTGCCGCTGTCTCCCTGGTAAACTACAAAGGAGGGAAGGTGGCTGAGTCTGTTTTAGTGGGATGCTCTAGGATTAAATATTCCGAAAAGTTCCAAATGCTTGTGGTTCACATCTGTAATCCTAAAATACTCCAGAAGCTGAGATCTGAGAATCACAGTTGGGGTGTGTGTGTGTGTGTGTGTGTGGTTTTACTTTGTGTCAGCCAAGGGCTGGGTTCTGTTCCTGAGCTTCTTTGCTCTCGGCTGGTACTTTACTTCTTGAATCACAGCTCCACTTCTGTCTCTTTGGTGGTTCATTGGAGATAAGAGTGTCATGGACTTTTCCTGCCGGGCTGGCTTTGAACCACAGAGGATTGCAGTTTAAAGCCAACCTGCACAGATAAATCTAAAATACTTTCCTGTCTCCAACAAACCAGCAAAAAGCCAGAAATGGAGCTGTGGCTCAAGTGGTAGAGCACCAGACTTGGGTAAAAATAGCTAAGGACATCATCCAAGCCCTGAATTCAAGTCCCATGCTTATACAAAAAAAAAAAAAAAATCAATGCCAGTCTTGGTTAGGAAGCAAGATCTTATGTATTTATTAATAACATATTAATCAAAAGAGCCAGTGAAGCTAGGCACTGGGGGCTCACACCTGTAATCCTAGCTAAGCAAGAGGCTGATATTTGAAGATCACAGTAGAGCCTTGGGTACAAAGCTCAGGAACAGTGCCCAGGCCCTGAGTTCAAGGCCCAGGACACACACACACACAACCAACGACAACAGGAGTTGGGAAAGGAGAGGAACCCGGTCTCCAGCTTGTCGCTCTTGTGTCGCAGATGCCTGGGGTCTGCCTGGCTTCAGAGCCAGCACTGGAGCCCCAGGCCATGGCATGCTTGATCTCAGGACACATCCCACCCTTGGCCGGCTCCTGAGCCGCATGCTTTCATTGCAGATTGCGTCGCTGCTCAAGGACAATGAACGCATCCAGTCCACCCAGACTGCTGCCCCCAGTGACGAAGACACTGACATCAAGAAGATCAAGAAGGTTGGTCCAGGTTCTCCTATTGGCTTCTAGAAAGATCCAGCTGAGGGGTGGGGGGACACTGCATGTCCCTGGAGGTGCCCTTACCCCCTCTCCTCTGCCCTGTCACACCAGCCCCTGGTGACACTTGTCAAGTAGGTCCCCTGTGGGCGAAAGAGCAGGCTGGGCCTATTTCACAGATCAGAAAATCGAGGTTCCACTTAAAGGCAAGAGTAGGAGGCACAAGGACTTGCTTCAATGTCTTGGGGTCTCTGCAAAACCAAGGCCCCCATGGCTCCTCTCCACTGTCGTACACACACGTCCAGCCCAGCACAGCGCTCTGCAGAGAGTCTTACCTTCTGCTTGCACCTGGGACCCTGTTCGAGTAGCCAGGGGGACCCACCCAGGAGCCAAGGCGGTGGCAGCACCGTGGGCTATCCTGTGACACTGGGGCCCAGGGGGAGGAGCCTGGGTTGTGGGCAGCTAGCCAGACTGGAGGCCTGGCCCAGGCCAGCAAGTAAGAGAAGACTTCCTGCCTGTCTGAATGGGGAAAAGACCCCAGGCCATTGTGATCTCAAGCCACAAATGTGCCCCACAGGCCAAGGTCAACCTCAAGGGCAAAGGTGGTTCTCAGACCACAGAGCACAGGGTTTTCTTCAGATAATTTGTGCCAGTACTAGGGCTTAAACTCAGAGCCTCATGCTTCCACTTGGCTTTTTTCACTAGGGTACTCTATCCCTTGAGCCACACTCCCTTCTGGTTTTTTGGTGGCTCATTGGAGATAAAGGTTTGGTGTACTTTCTGCCTGGGTGTGGCTTTGTACCTCTGTCCTCTGGAGTCTCAGCCTCCTGAGGAGGATTAAACCGCTTCCCCCCCCCCCCCCTTTTATATTTGTTGCTAGTGCCTTAAGAATTAAACATTTCACACCCAAGTCTGTCTTTCTGCTTTCCCCAAACTAGACATTGCTCATACGCATTAGCCACTTTCAACGTGCCAGATTCTATTCTGAGATCCGATGTGGAGGAAGTGGCTCTACACTAAAAGCCTCTTGAGATCCATCCCCCTCTGCATCTCACAGACGCAGGTTGAGGCACAGAGAGCCAAGTTACCATCTCCACTTGGCACAGCCAAGTCTTTGCAAAGTGTGTTCGGCCCCCAGATACCAACTCCCAAACCCTTACCCCGGCCTCCTGGGAAAAGCAGCTTTACAGCCCAGGGGCTGTACATGTTGTTGGATGTCAGCTCAAGTCAGGAGACTGAGCTCTGTGACGGTCTCACCAAGCCAGCCACGTGCGTCTACAGGACCTGCTCAGTCCACAGTCAGGCATTGGCTGCCTCACTCTGCACTCTGCCTCTCAGCCCCAGCAGGGACAGTTGGTGGCCCTCTGAGGATCTGAGGATCACGGTTCGAAGCCAGCCTGAGCAGCTTGGTCCCCTCACCCCGTGCTGCACCATGCCTTTCTGATAGGGTTTCTTGTTTAAAGTCCTTGGAATCCACCTCCCTTGGCTCTGACATCTCCTTCTGGAGCCTCAGATGTCTCCAGCTCTGCCCTGAAGTCCTTCCTGTCTTCAGAGACAGCCACCGGGGGCCTGCTGCCCACTGCTGCTGGCCCTTTAAGTACAGGGGCCCCACCCCTTTGTCCATCTCCCCTCCCTTCAAGGACCCTGGCCTCCAGCTATGCAGAGGCAAAGGCAGGCAGTGAGGCGGGCTTGGTTAGAAGCCTGTGCAGCTTAAATGGTGAGTGTGTGTGAGAGAGAGAGACAGAGACAGACAGAGATTATCAAGGGCCTTTCCTAAATTCCTGACAGCACCAGGCCTCTGACTAAGCCCAGCTCCAGGGCCACTAAGCGCCCTGTGTGCAGTCAGGAGATCGCCCCCAGCCCCAAGGAAAGATGAAGGCCTCAGCAAGCGCTGTTGCTCACCCCTGTCATGCTGGCAACCCAGGAGGCTGAGATCTGAAACGAACCCCCAGAAAACCAGAGGTGGCGCTGTGGCTTGGGTAGTGGAGCGCCAGCCTTGAGTGCAAAAGCTCAGGAACAGGGCTGGGAATGTGGCGCAGTGGCAGAGTGCTTGCCTAGCATGCATGAAGCTCTGGGTTCGATTCCTCAGTACCGCATACACAGAAAAAGCCAGTGGCGCTGCAGCCACTTGAGCCAAAGCAGCTCAGGGACAGTGTCCAGGCCCCAAGTTCAAGCCCCAGGGCCACAAAAAGAAAAAAAAAAGGAAAAAAGAGCTTCCATTTCCAGAGATCCTGGTCCAAATCCGTGATTCCTGTGGAGTCCAGGCATCCGGTCGGGGGAAGGGGGTCCATTTTACAGCTGGGAAAACTGAGTCCAGGCCGCCCAAACAGGCCGCGGGGCCGGGGGTGGCCCGTGTCTGGGAGGTGAGGATGAAGCCGGGACCCCTTCCCGCGGCCGGGCCGTCCCCCTCACCCAGCCCGCCCACCTGGCCCTGCAGGTGCAGAGCTTCCTGCGCGGCTGGCTGTGCCGCCGCAAGTGGAAGACCATCATTCAGGACTACATCCGGTCGCCCCACGCCGACAGCATGCGCAAGCGCAACCAGGTGGTGTTCAGCATGCTGGAGGCCGAGGCCGAGTACGTGCAGCAGCTGCACATCCTGGTCAACAACTTCCTGCGCCCGCTGCGCATGGCCGCCAGCTCCAAGAAGCCGCCCATCACACACGACGACGTCAGCAGCATCTTCCTCAACAGGTAGCAGTGGCCGAGGGCCGCGGGGCGGGGCATGGGGCAAGGAGAAGGCCGCGGGGCAAGGCCGCAGGGCCAGGCTGCAGGGCGGGGAAGGCCGCAGGGCAAGGCTGCGGGGCCAGGCTGCAAGGCAGGGAAGGCCGTGGGGCTCAGGGCCACAGGCAAGACTGTGGGGTGCAAGGCTGCGGGGCCAGGCTGCAGGGCGGGGAAGGCCGCGGGTTCAGGGCAAAGCCAGGGGCAGGGCACGGGGTAGAGCCAGAGGCAAGGCCGCAAGACACAGGAAAGTCCAAGGTGCAGGGGGCAAAGCGGCCGGGAGCAGGAAAGGGGGGACTACGGGGACTGTGGGGCAAGGCCGGGGCCCAAGGCCTCCTCACTCCTACTGGACCTGGGGGGGGGGGGGGGACAACAGGAGATCAGAGGAAGGGTTCCAAAGCTACTCACTGAGCCAGAAAGACCCTGGCCACCAAGAATGCAGGGGCCTGGAGCAGGGATCTAGGTGTAGGCCTAATGTGGTGTGTGGTTAAACCAATAGCTTTCCACAGAGGGAGATTTGTCCTTCAGGGATGCGTGGCAATATTTTTGGATTGTCCTGACCTGGAGGGTTGGGGAGTGCAGGGTTTACCACCAGTATCTCATGGGCAGAGGCCACAGATGCTAATATGACCTGTGACATGGCACAGGACCCTCTGAGGAGGAATTAACCCCATTGTTAGAGTTTATTAGACTTTGCCAGAACACCACGCAGATAACCAGGCACAAAGAACAAAGGACAGGTTTATTGCCAGCAAAGGGACTGGCAAGACCCCTTCTCACAAAAGCTTAGTGCTGGCTATTGTGTCCAGTGACCTATATAACATACAGGGGCAAGGAGGCGGAGACCTGGGTGTGGACGTGTGGACCAGGGCTTCATCATGGAGGGCTAGGATTTTTGGCTGCTGCCCAAGTGGCAGATAAGGGGTCTTCCAGCTGCCTAGACTTGAAGGTCACTCTTTGCTGCTTTATGTGGTGATAGCTATCCCCCAAATGAGTGCCGTCTCAAGGTAAAGGGGGGCAGGTGGAGGCTGATTATTTACTGCCTTTACTAAATGGGCCTAGTGTTGCCTAAGAAAGGAACATGTTAAGCCATGAGAGAAGATGCTATTGGACTAACACCTACACAAGATGGCAAGAGAGCTCCAGTCAGGAGCAACTTGTATTGATCTTTAAAAGTTAGAAATTGTCTTAGTCCCTTTTGTGTTACTATGAAAAAACACTGGAGGCTGAGAACCTGACAGGAAAGAAGAAAGGGAGAGATGGGTGGAGGGGAGGGAGGGAAGGTCACTGTGGTACCAGCTTTAATCCCTTCCCCCAAGTTGTTTTTTTTTTTTCTTTTAATTGACAGTCTTGGCGCTTGAACTCAGGCACTGTTCCTGAGATTTTTGTCTTCAAGGCTAGCACTCTACCGCTTGAGCCACAGTTCTATGTGTGTGTGTGTGTGTGTGTGTGTGTGTGTGTGTGTGTGTGTTTCACTGGGGATAAGAGTCTCAGGACTTTCCTAACCAGGCTGGCTTCAAACTGCGATTCCCCAGATCTCAGCCTCCTGTGGAGTGACAATGACAGGAAAGAGCCACGAGCACCTGGCTTTCCCCGTGATTTCTGTGATCCCCTTCTTAGAACCCCAGCCACCTCTTCAATACCGACCTATTAAGGGGACCCAGCTTCAGCGTGAGTTTGGGCAACAACTCACACCCAAATCCTTAGCAAGCCACGGGAAGTGGCTCCTACCTTGTCACACTCAGTGACCTGGAGGCCAGGTTTGGGGTCAGGGCGTGTGCACGGGTGTGCATGGTATGTGCACGTGACAGTATGGGGCTTAAAATGGGAGCCCCATGCTCTTAGGGGGGTGAGGGGGGCACAGCACTCCACGCACCTGGGCCACCTGCGCCCACCTCCAGGCTTGGAGGGAAGGGGCTGGATTGGGCTGGCCACCTCCTGCCTGGAAACCCCTCCCTTTCTAGTCTCTGGAAGTCCCTCCCACTCCTCATCCGGCTCTAGAAGCGCCACCTACTTCCCTGTCATAAACCCTACAAGTGTGTCACTGGAAGCCCCTCCCACTTCCCCTTCTGTAGAAGCCCCGCCTGCTTCCTGTCTGGAATTCCTCCCATTTTCCAATTTATGGAAGTTCCACCCACTTCTTCTCAGAAGTCTACCCTTTCCTGTCACTAGAAGGTCCTTCCCCTTCCTACCTCAGAAGTTCCTCCTTCCTGCCCCTCCAAATGCCTCCCACTTCCTAACTCTGGATACTTCTTTCTCTCTCTGGAAGTCCCTCCTTTTCTATCTCTGCAAGCTTCTCACTTCCTGTCCCTGAAAGCTACTCCCACCCACCCCTCGTTGCCCCCATCTTCCAGGCCCCTTCCTTCTGTTGGTCCATGCCCCCTGGCTGTGAAGTTTGAGGACCCTAAGCTGTCTCTTTTGTAGCTAGCCTTCATCACACTTCAGTAGTACATTTTTGGTGCAAACACACCCCCCCCCCACTATAAACTCCCTGTGAGCAGGGACAGAGCACAATTCTTGGGGTATGGTCTACAGAGACCAGAGGTTGGCAGTCTCCCTCCCCCCCCCCAAAGGACTAGAAGATAAATAGGTTGCAATCCTAAATGCAAGGTACTACCATAAAAAGAAAAGATCACCTGAAGGCTCAGGTGATCCTTGGCATCTTTTAGCCACAAAGTGGTTTTAATTAGGGTATGTACAATTAAAAAGAATACTGAGCCAGGTCATTGGCTTATACTTATAATCTAGCTACTCGGGAAGCTGAGATCTGAGGATCGTGGTTCAAAGCCAGCCTGGGTAGGAAAGTCCATGAGAGTGTTATCTCCAAGTAACCACCAAAAAACCAGAAATGGAGCTGTGAGTCAAGTGGTAGAGGGCTAGCTGTGAGCAAAAAGCTCAGGGACAGCACCCAGGCCCTGAGTTCAAGCCCAGGATCAGTGCACATGCGTGTGCGCACACATGTACACACACAACTCAATCCTACTGCACAGTCAGTAGCCTACAGTGTGGTAGAAACATTACTTTTATATGCACTGAGAAATGGAAAGAATCCATGTGAACTGAGTTTCTAGCCTTCTAGTCTGGAGCCAAACCTTCAGTGCTTCTCTAAGAGTGCCTGTGTATCTTACAGTACTCTCTTCGGAGGTTTCTAATTTGTTGAGTTGAAAAAGCTTCCTTCTCTTCCACGAGCATCTTGAGCACTTGCTTTCAGAGCTGAAATACCTCTTCCCCCTCCATTTCCCCCTTCCAGTCTCCCGCCTCCCCCTCCCTTCCCCCTCCCCCTCCCTCTCCCTTTCCCTTTCCATCCAGGGTCCACCCCTGAGCCTCAGGCTCTTTTCTCTCAATAAATGGGGTGTGCTGCCAGAGGCCCCGGACATGTTGCGGAGACCCTCCAATGGCAGGAGGGGCTGCAGAGATGAGCAGGCGCAGGCACTGGACCCCAGGCTGTTTCCCAGCCGCCTAGGGCCCAAGATGCCAGTGTCTAGGCCAGGCTTCCAAAATAACCTAACACAAATCACAGAAGCTCCTGATCCATGTGGGGACAGGGCGCTCAGTGCTTTGGGTTGTTTTTGTTTTTTGTTGGTCATGGGACTTGAACTCTGGGCCTGACCACTGTCCCTCAGCTCTTCAGCTCTACAACTAGAGCCACTGGACCACTTTCAGTTTTCTGGTGGTTCATTGGAGATAAGAGTCTTATGGACTTTCCTGCCCTGGCTGGCTTTGAACCACAATCCTCAAATCTCAGCCTCCTGAGTAGCTAGTATTATAGGCTTGAGCCACTGGCCTCCAGCTTCAGTGTCGTTTTGACTCCTCTGGCTGAGATTCCCCAAAGGGGGCCTTTGTGGGGACCCTGGGGGCCCCCCACCGAGTCCAAGCAATCCATCTGCAGGAGTTTCTCATTTCATCTGCTTCTTATCCAGAAGGACTCAGAGTTCAGAGATTCCAAGCGCCTTGCTCAAAGTCACCCAGCTTGGAAGGTGGCATAAGGCGGACTGGAAGCCCATTCTCCGTGGGTCCTCAAGAGCCCTGTCTTTTCACATAAGCAGTGGCTCTTGCTCTGTTGTCTACTGCAGTGCGGTCCCACCACACATCTCAGGACCCCCGGTCACCTTCAAAGCAGTGCGTTCTGAACCAGACAGCCAGAGCTTGGTGCTAGGCTCCCATGAGACTTCTTAAAGCTGGAAGCCTGAGGTTTGGCAGTTTCTGGACAGGTGCTGCCCAGCCCCAGCCCTCCCAAGGTCAGGAAGGGCCCTCAGAGGGGCAGGACTTGGCTCGGGGTGAGTTTGTTCACCTCATGCTCTCTCTTTCAGCGAGACAATCATGTTTTTGCATCAGATCTTTTACCAAGGCCTGAAGGCCCGAATCTCCAGCTGGCCCACGCTGGTCCTGGGTGAGTAGCCAGCCCTGGCAGAAGCCCCAGAACAGTCTTCCCTTAAACATTGCAAAGTGGGACCCAATAAATCACAGAGGCCGGGGGGGGGGGGGGAGGGGTGTGGGGAACCCACAGGAGAAAAACGACAAACTGTCAAAAGCCCTATTTCTAGGTTGAAGCAAAATATTTTTCATTTCTGATCTATATTTCCCTTTAAAAAAGAAAGCACACAGACTCACTGGAGGACATTAAAAACACTCCCTCTCCCCCCAAAAAGTAGGAAACGGTTAAAAATATCACACCCATCATCTGCCTCCAAATTGCAAACACTCCACTGGTTCCCATCCAGATTCTGCAGTGCACAGATCTTGAGCGGGTTTTATCCCATTTCTGTAATTGCAAACATTCCAAATGATACAGTTTGAATCTTGCCGTGCGTTGTTTTGATTTTTTTTTTTTTTGGTCCTTAAAATTACAGCTGAAATGTTTTCTCATGACTAAAGAACTCTTGACGGCTGCATGACGCTCTGGTCTTCCAGAATGTTGAGCATCCTCCACGCAGCCAGCTTCTGTTACAGGCTTTTAGAGTCCTTCCAGAAATAAGTATCCCCAGCCAGGCACCGGTGGCTCATGCCTGTCATCTTAGCTACTCAGGAAGCTGAGAGCTGAGGATCATGGTTCGAAACGAGCCTTAGGAATATCCGAAAGACTCTTATCGCCAATGAACCAGAAAAAAAAAAAACTGGAAGTGGAGGTGTGGCTCAAGTGGCAGAGCACCAGCCTTGAGTGTAAAAGGGACAGGCCCTGAGTTCAAGCCCCAGTATTTGAGACAAACAAGGAAAGGGAAGGGAGGGAGGGCCGATGGTTCCTCACCAGGGCCAGGGGCGGAGCTCAGACCCGGGCAGCTGCTGGGCTGAGGCCTGGGGCCATCTCACTTCATCTCACCCCTCCTCGCAGCGGATCTGTTCGACATCCTGCTGCCCATGCTGAACATCTATCAGGAGTTCGTGCGTAACCACCAGTACAGCTTGCAGATCCTGGCGCACTGCAAGCAGAACCGCGACTTTGACAAGCTGCTGAAGCAGTACGAGGCCAAGCCCGACTGCGAGGAGAGGACACTGGAGACCTTCCTCACCTACCCCATGTTCCAGGTGACCGCTGGGTGGGCCTGGGGGCGTGGCTTGAGCTTCTGGGACTCTGGTGGGCGTGGTTTGTGTTCCTGAGCGTGGCCTCTGGGGTACTTGAAGGAATTCCTGGAGACTCCATCAGGGATCCCTTTTCCCTCCAGATCCCAATGCTCCAGGCCAAACCATAGCCTGCCCTCCTCTGGGGCCTGACTTCATGCCTTCATGGGCTTCTCTGTCTCTCCTCTGCTCCCATCCCTCTGTCCCTGTCTGTCCCTCCCTGTCCCCTGCCGCCCACAGATCCCCAGGTACATTCTCACTCTCCACGAACTTCTGGCCCACACGCCCCACGAACACGTGGAACGAAACAGCCTTGACTATGCCAAGTCGAAATTGGAGGAGCTGTCCAGGTGAGCCCTGTCCGCAGTGCACCTTCGCAGGGCCAGAGGGCTGTAGGTACCCCAGAGATACAGGGGTGAGGGAGGGCAGAGTCCCGCCATGTCCCAAGGGTGGGGCTCTGTCCCAGGCACCCATGACACTCAGCCCCTCTCCTGAGACAGGGCACTGCCAGGGACTGACGTGCGCTCTGCCCAGATCCTGGTTCTCTGAGAACTGGTGTCTGGAGTTGAGGGTCAGGGAAGTCCTGTCATGCCCAGCTTGGAGATGGCATTTAAAGTCTCACCACTACTGCTGGATGCTGGACATGGCAGCTCACGCCTGTAATCCCAGCTACTCAGGAGGCTGAGATCTGAGGATCAAGGTTCAAAACCAGCCTGGGCAGGAAAGTTGATGAGACTCTTACCTCTAATTAATTGCCAAAAAGTGGGAAGAGGAGCTGTGGGAAGAGAGCAGTGTTAGAGCAAAAAGCTGCCTTGAGCAAAAAGCTGAGAGACAGTGCCCAGGCTCTGAGTTCAAGCCCCAGGACCAGCACAAAAAAAGGAAAGAAAGAAGAAACCCAATTCAGATGCCCCTCTTCTGGCAGAACCAGATAACTGGTCACAGCCATGAACCAAAGGGCCACCACTCTTATCCCAGCACCCAGTGTCCCACTGAGGGGGAAACTAAGGATCAGAGGAGCCTGTGTCATTTTGTTTCACTGCCACTCTGGTCAAATTCATCACAGATCCTGCTCAAGCCACGCCCCCTCTCATTTAAACCAGAAAATGTCAGGGAGTACTTTTTAAGTTCACCAGGCTCTTGGTAGCACTCATGGCCCCATTGCAGCCATCAGTAAGCAAAAACTTTGTGCAGTTCTTGGAGTAGACTTGGCATTTGTACGAACTCCTCCTCCTCCCCTCACCCCCAAGTTGCTCACTGCTTTCCTAGGACCCTGGAAACCCTCCAAAGACAAATTGGGCAGCCAAAACCCTGTGCCCCAAACCATGCTATTTTTGACGTGCAGTTTAATGCCACCATCTCCTGGAAAGATGAGGTATTACAGGGACAAATTGAGTCAAATTGCATTATTTGGATCCCTTCCCACAAGTTGGCTGAGAGCAGTCTTCCCCTGAGCCATCGCCAAGGCACTCACCACACTGGACAGATAATCCATATAAAGATTGAGATGGGGAGGAGAGTGCAAAGGCCCTGAGGCAGGAAAATGAACCTTATTCTATGGGCAGGAATAAGGTCAGTCGAAGAATGAGGGAGAGGCAAATAAAGACTCCCACCTTCCTCCAGAAGCTAGAGCTGGACCTGCTGTCTGTTCCTCGGGGTTCAGAATTGGAAATCTGATAGGCCTGCTTCTCGGCAGCCACCTTCTGTTCCCTTTTTTCTGGGCTTAAGGAAGAAAAAGTCAGGTGGCACATGGGAATTGGCTAGCACAGAGTAAGCACTTAGCAGGTGCGCACCCACCTGAGAATTCTGGGTGGGGCCCACCGCTCTGCTTCCTGTCCTGCAGGATCATGCACGATGAGGTCAGTGAGACAGAGAACATCCGGAAGAACCTGGCTATCGAGCGCATGATCATCGAGGGCTGTGAGATCCTCCTGGACACCAGTCAGACCTTCGTGAGACAAGGTGCGTGGAGCGTGCCCGCGCCCCACACAGCCTGCCCCGCCCGGAGCAGCTTGGCCGGCATGTGCCAGACCTGCTGCAGCATTTGCCCAGGCTGCAGGCAGCACAATGGCTGTTGTGCCCGCAGGATTTCCCCGGGGCTGACGGCGGGCCCCGCAGCTTCCTGTGACTGCAGCCTTTGCCCGGGCTATAGGTGGGCACCATGGCTGTCATACTGTCAGGATGTGTCTTTACACAGAGGTTTGGGTCAGGTTGATTTTCACTGTTCTTTTCAGAGGGAAACATCATGCTTCATGGCCCAAACCTCATAGCTTCCATGGACCTCTTGTAAACACAGCCACGGCGCCTTGGGGAAAGAAGTAGGCCCTGAGAGATGAGGGCACAGGCTGAGGAGCATGTCTGACTCCTTCCTCTGCCCATTACTCACCCTTCTCTGGGGCTTGGGAAGGTCAGAGTCTCTTGGTTCTCCTCACCTCCAGGCCTAGCTCACCTTGGGGTCGGGGATCTGAGAGTTGAAGTGGGACTCCACCCCTCCCCCCGCCTGTCTCAGATGTGACCTCTTTCTCAAAATGCACTCCCCCACTACCCAAAGTGAAAACTGACCAAGGCCTGTGCAGGGTCTGGGTCCTAGAAGCTGGTGCCCAGCATTCATAGATGACCCCCAGCCTTCTTCAGATCCCTGGAGATACTCCAGCCAAGAGCCAACCTTGCCCATCTTCTGACTGCTGTAAACTGCACCAGATTCTTTTTTGGGGGGGGAGGGAGGGTCCGGTCGTGGGGCCTGAACTCTGGGCCTGGGCGCTGTCCCTCAGCTCTTCAGCTCAAGGCTAGCACTCTACCACTTGAGCCACAGCACCACTTCCGGCTTTTTTCTTTTTGCTTATGTGGTGCTGAGGAATCGAACCCAGGGCCTCAGGCATGCAAGGCAAGCGCTCTACCACTGAGCCACCTTCCCAGCCCATACACCAGATTCTTGTGTGTGTGTGTGTGTGTGTGTGTGTGTGCGTGTGTCTATGCATACATGCACTGATGCTTGAACTCAGGGTCTGGGCACTCTCATTCCTCCAAGGCTGATACTCTACCATTTGAGCCACAGCTCCATGTAGGGTTTTTTGCAGATTAGAGATCAGAGTCTCACGTGCCTCCTCGGCCTCTGGAGTAGCTAGAATTACAGGACAAGATGCTTTCCATGCAAGGATTGTCCAGAGTGAGACAGTAGATGGGCTCCATGCTAGCTACCCGCTTTCCTCAGTGTGGCTTCCCCGTGCCCCTTCCTGAGGACACCGGCCAAGTCTAGCTCCACAGCCAGCTGTGTTATTTAGTGGTGATGTCTGCTACGGAGGCAGGCCGAGGATGGGCTCTGCATGCAGCCAGGTCTGTGACTGACAGATGCTAGCTCCTGTGACTACATGTATCTTGCTGGTCCCTCCGTGCTGTCCAGCCTCTGCCACCCCAGACCCCAGCCTAGCCTTCATTCTTTCATTCTCACACAACAGGGGGGGGGGGGAAGGGCAGGTCCTCAGGGTCCATTTGCTTTCAAGGGCTTGACCCCTGGCTGGGAGGAAAGGCCCAGCTCCACCTTCTGCCCTGAGGAGGATGGCAGGAGCTGGGCTGGTCTAGCGCTCTGCTGCTCCCTTCACCTCCATCTTCAGGCCAGGCCAGAGCCCCAGCATCATCCTGGGAGTGAGCCTCGGGGTCTCCTCTCCCGCAGGGTCCCTCATCCAGGTGCCCATGTCGGAAAAGGGCAAGATCACCAGGGGGCGCCTGGGGTCCCTGTCACTCAAGAAGGAGGGCGAGCGGCAGTGCTTCCTCTTCTCCAAACATCTCATCATCTGCACCAGAGGCTCCGGAGGGAAGCTCCACCTGACCAAGGTAGGGGGAGGGGAGGGAAGGGTCACACAGGCTCCACCCTGGGGGGGCGATGGGCAGGGGTGTCGGCACACACACACACACACCCTGCTTTAACCGCACAGACTATGAGCTGGACACTGGCGGCTCATGCCTGTCATCCAAGCTGAGGCTAGAGATCGGAGGATCCTCCTTCAGGGCAGAAAAGCCTGAGACTCTTTTATCTCCAATTCACCAGCAAAGAGCCAGAAGTGGAGCTGTGGCTCAAATGGGAGAGCACTAGCCTTGAGAAAGAAAAAAAAAACCATTAGGGATAGCACTCAGGCCCTGAGTTCCAGCCTCGAGACTGGCACGTTCACACCACGCGTGCAAGTGTACACACACGGACACATATGTGCCTGGGAAAGACCTCCCAACCCCCATCCAGTGATGGGCTGCTCTTTTTCAGAATGGAGTCATATCCCTCATTGACTGCACCTTGCTGGAAGACGCAGAGGGCACAGACGAGGAAGGTCAGTGTGGAACACCTGCACACCCACACCCACACACACACACACTCAGACACACTCCCTCGGAAGTCAGCTCAGCATTGGCTGCGCCTGTGTGTGTGCGCTCAAGTGTGTGCACGTGTGTGTGTGTGTGTGTGTGTGTGTGTGTATGTTGGTACTGGGGCTTGAACTCAGGGCCTGGAAACTGTCTCTTAGCTCTTTTACTCAAGGCTGGCATCCTACCACTTGAGTCACAGCTCCACTTCAGCTTTTTGGTGGTTCATTGGAGATAAGAGTCTCAAGGACTTTTCCTCTGGGAGCTGGCTTTGAACCTTGATCCTCAGATCTCAGCTTCCTAAGTAGCTAGGATTACAGGAGAGAGCCATCGGCTCCAGCTCTGAGTCTCTCCGTTTGTGGGTCACACAGCAGTGAGTTGAGAAACAGCCAAGAGCTGGAGTCGACAGTTCACACCACTCAAGTGCACCCTTGTTGAATGCAGACTTGTTAAAAGAACCTTTAAAACTCAGGCCGTGTTTTCTCCAATAAACAGCTTATGAGGGTTTAGAGCTAGCACACTAGAGACCCTGTCTTTGATTTTCAATTCAAGGAGTAGTAAAAATCCCTATGATTTACTTTTGCATTGGCGTGTTCCAGCCCAGCCCATAAAAGTTTAAGACACGGAAGTTCCTTGCCAGTCTGGGCACCACCTTGGGTGCAGGCCTAGAGTGTGCCCTGTGCTAGAGGATGTCAGCTAAGTCCTACATCAAAATCTCAGTTCCACTGGGTGGTGGCTCACAGCTGTCATCCCAGCTACTCGGGAGGCTGAGATCTGAAGATTGTGGCTTAAAGCCAGCCTGGGCAGGAAAGTCCATGAGACTTATCCCCAGTGAACCAACAGAAGGTCCAGATTTGCTGCTCAAGTGGTAGAGCACTAGCCTTGAGTCAAAACACTTAGGGAGAGCCCCCTGACCCTGAGTTCAGGCCCCAGGACCAGCACAAAGGAAAATAAAGTCTTCCAATCCCCTAAGCTCCCACACTCACTCCGCTAACTTCGTGCTTTGCCACTGGAAGCCAAAGGATCCGGCCAGGACATTGAGCACTTGGATTTTAAGATCGGGGTGGAGCCAAAGGAATCCCCGCCCTTCACCGTCATCCTGGTGGCTTCTTCCAGACAAGAGAAGGCAGCATGGACAAGTGACATCAGCCAGGTGAGCAGTGTCACTATTTCTTCAAGTACCTGAGGGTGAGGGAGATGACAGAAAGATGACTAGGTATGCCACTCTGCTAGAAGAGACTTCCAGGCCCACAATACCAACCCAGGCCTAGCTCAACCATCTAACTGCAAAGTCCTGTGGGTCAGCTTCAGCGTACAGTCTGAGAAACCAAGCACTGGAGGCTCACACCTATGATCCTAGCTACTCGGGAGGCTGAGGATCACAGTTCCAAACCCGACTAGACAGGAAAGTGCACAGTGAGAGTCTATCCCCAATGAAACGCCAGAAAACCAGAAATGGTGCTGTGGCTCAAAGTGGTAGAGTGCTGGCCTTGAGCAAAAGCACCCAGGGACAGCACCCAGGTTCAATCTCCATGACCAAAATATCTCAGTACAAGCCCCAGGATATTGGAATACACACAGAAAAGTCTTGAGCACTACCTGCCATGGCTGTTAGATGAGACAGAAAGCTAGGAGAGAGAATGGCATGGCGCAGCTCTCCAGGGTCAAGAATGGTGTCTGACATCTTGGGAGCAGGGGGTGGAGGGGTGCCCGCTACCCACATTGGAGAGCGGCTCCTGGAAGGGCAGGCTTCCCTGGAATGGCCAAGAGGTCAGCAGACTGCAAGGGCTTCTGGGCACCAGAAGTACAAGGAGCAGGGTGTGTCTGGGAAGGGGTCATCCCTGGTCAGGAGACCGCAAGGGCTTGTGGGTACTGGAAGTGTGAGGAGCAAGATGCTGCCTGGGAAAGGGTCATAGAGCTGATGGCAGAAGAAGACTTGGGAGGAACGGGGCTGGGGATGGAACGGCTCCTCCTCCCTACTGCTCAGGGCTGGGGGAGGTCTGTCCCCATGGAACTTAGAGCACTGGTCCACTGCCCCAAAACCCCCTTGCTTGCCAGCTCCTTCCTCAGCTTTGCACCCCACTTAACAGGCTTCCCTGCCCGCCCACCTGCCCTCCTGCTTGCCTTCCAGCCTGCCTGCCTCATCCCAAGGCCTGGAAAAGCAAGGAGGGATCAGGCTCTGGGTGTGTGTGTCTGTGTCTGTGTCTGTGTCTGTGTCTGTCTGTCTGTCTACTAGGGCTTGCACTGAGATTTTTCGCTTGAAGCTAGTGCTCTACCACTAGAGGCACACCTCCACTTCTAGCTCTTTGATGGGTAGTTGGAGATACACATCTCAGATTTTTCTGCCCAAGCTGGCTTCAAACTATAATCCTCAGATCTCAGCCTCCTGAGTAGCTAGGATTACAGGCGCAAGCCACGGGTACCCCACTGTTCTGGCTCACTCTCCCAAGTGGGAAGCTGAGAGTCAGGAAGATCAGGTTGGCCACTCAGGGGGGACTGGGCACCTGGCCAGAGCCCCAGGGGCACCCCGAGTTGACTTTACCCTGGTCCACCGGATGACACCATTGAAGCCTAAGGATCCTGTCATTCATCAGAGCCTGAGTCCCAGAACGTGGGCCTGGGTCCCAGAACGTGGGCCTGGGTCCCAGAACGGACCCAGAGCTGTGACCCTGGCCCCTCTCCTTTCCAGTGTGTGGACAACATCCGATGTAATGGGCTCATGATGAATGCATTTGAAGAAAACTCCAAGGTCACCGTCCCACAGATGATCAAGTAAGTCCTTCTCCTGTCCTGAGCTCGCTGCGTGTGGCGCCTAAGTGTTACCGGCAGATGACGAGTGCCTGGGGCTCAGAGGACACTGGGTCTCACTTGGGCGGGTTGAGATGTTTACTTTCTAACATGCTTGTTTTGAGTTCATGTGTGTTTGGATTAATTAATTATCTTCGTTACAGTTTGTTTCGTACCTGTGGATTCTTTTCTGACAGTAATAGGAGCCTGAGTTGGTGGCTCACACCTGTAATCCTAGCTACTGAGGAGGCTGAGATCTGAGGATTGCTGTTTGAAGCCACCCCAGGCATCAAAGTCCATGAGACTCTCATCTCCAATTAACCACCAGAAAACCAGAAATGGTGCTATGGCTCAAAGTGGTAGAGTGCTAGCCTTGCACAAAAGAATTCAGGGACAGCGCCCAGGCCCTGAGTTCAAGCCCCAGGACCAGTTAAAAAAAAAAAAAAGTGGTACCTAAACACAATGAAATTTTACACAGCCATTAGAAAGAGTACTGTTTGCAGGGAAATGGATGGACCTAGAACAAATCACGTTAAGTTTGGTAAGTCAAGTTCAGAGACACAAAAGGTGCATGTATTCTCTCATTTGCAGAAGCTAGATCTAAACACAATAGGACATGATAAATTATATAGTATTCTAGGCATTAACACACAGTGAAACCAAAGGAGAACATTCTTAGGGGAGAAACAAAGGCACAATGCCTATGTGTTTCTGATCATATAAAATAATATCTATTGAAATTTAAAAAAAAAATTGGCTGGGAATGTGGCTTGGTGGTAGAGTGCTTGCCTAGCATGCAAGAAGCCCTGGTATTGGCAGAAAAATACTGTAGGCCCGTGCTGCTGGCTCACACCTGTAATCCTAGCTACGCAGGAGGCTGAGATCCGAGGGTCGCAGTTCAAAGCCAGCCCAGGCAGGAAAGTCCATGAGACTCTTATCTCCAATAAACCACCAGAAAACCAAAAGTGGTATTGTAGATCAAGTGGTAGAGCGCTTGCCTTGAGCTGAAGAGCTGAGGGACAGCGCCCAGGCCCAGAGTTCAAGCCCCATGACCAACCAAAAAAAAAAAAAAAGCTGCAGGTTTGACCCCAGCAGGAAGAGGTAGGCTTGGAGTCATGGCCCTCCTCCCAACCCAGCTCTGCGCATGCCCACCCACCAACAAACCTTCCTGAGCCAGGATTCTTACTCTGCCAGGGTGAGATCATCCTGCCTTCTTGTCTTCCAGATCCTGGTTCAGCATTCAAACAAAAACCATATCCTAATTGCTCAGGAGGCTGTGATATGACAATCCTGGTTCAAAACCAGCCTAAGGCAGGAAAGTCCCTTAGACTCTATCTCCAGCTAGCTAGCCAGCATAAACCCAGAAGTGAAGCTGTGGCTCCAGTGGTAGGAAGCCAGTTTTGAGTGAAAAAGCTCAGAGATAGTGCCCAGGCCCTGAGTTCAAATCCCAGGACTGCACCAAAAATAAAATAATCCAGAAGGAAAGATGAGATGAAGTGCAAGAACCAACAGCTTGCGAGACCTGGTAGACAGAAAGTACGTTACAGCAGCTGCATGCGGAAGAGGAAAAAGGACAGAAAGACCAGAGGGAAGCTAAATATTCATGACACAATTAGTATCTGTGAGGTATTGGGCTCATTGAATATTCATGGGGTGGGTAGACATGTAGGACACTGAATATTCATGAGGTCTCTCACCCTGCCAGCCAGCCATTGGTGGCTCCTGTGTTGGTCTCCCAAGAGACCATCTAACCCAGGAGAAGCAAGTTTTGGCAAAAACTACAAGTTAGGCTGGCGGATGGGCCAGTGTGGCTGGGCAGGTGCACCCTGCACCTGGGAATGCATCAGCCACACACCCCCCAGATGTGATCTAGCTTCTGTGCTGGGTCTTTGATGTTCACTCCATCAACAAGCATGGGGGAGGGGGGCTGCAGGAAGAGCGAGCCACCTCCCCCACCACCCAACCTTCACAGTGCACTCACTAAGAGTCTGTGTGAGCATCTGTACTGGGTCCGCGAGCCTTGCTGTACCCAGGCCATGGGGACAGTCAGTCTGGTGACATTTCAAACCAGTCCCCTCTAAGCCACAGCCCCACGGAACTATTTATCACTCCTGCCCCTGAGCCTGAGTCCCTCTTCCCAGAATGCCCTGCCCAACCAGGCTGGCTTTAAACCACGATCCTCAGATCTCAGCCTCCTGAGTAGCTGGGATGACAGGCGTGAGCCACTGGCGCCCAACTTCTTCTTTTTTTAATAGCACAATTGGAATTTCTCAAAAGTAAGTGATTTGTGAGCTGGGTGGTGAGAAACAGGGCTGGCGAGATGGGCGGGGGTGGCAAGGCGGTGGGTTTCCTGGGGTGACACGGGGGTGTTGGGTTCCCCCTGGCTTCCTACTCTGGCTGGAGAAGGGTGCAGGGCCTGAACCTGGGGAGCCGGGGAGCCCGCGCTTCCCTGGCTGTGTTCCCGTCAGCCTCCACTTGTCCCGCACAGCCCCAGCTTCAGCTCTCCTGCCTTGTCACCAGACTGTGACATCAGCGCGTCCGATTGGGGGAGGGAGGGACTGTAACTAGAGGTGTTGTGTCCCCAAGTCCCAAGTGCGCTGTGCCCTCCTGCCCTGGCTCTGCAGCCCTGTCACCAGCATCCCTCAGCGCCCAGGTGTCCCTCCAGGCTTGTGGACTCGGGGCACACATCCTAGGTAAGCTCCTTTCCCAAGCCAGTGGTCCCCACAGATGCCAGCAAGGCAGGGTGCCACCCAGAAATTTCACCAAGAATGGCTGGGGGAGCATGAAAGCCCAATTTACCATCAGAAGATATTTCCGTCAGAAGACACAAGAAGGAAAAGGCAGAGATCTCCAAGCCAGAGGCCTGGCAGACATTACTAAATGAATCCCCATAGTAACCGGCCTGGCTCCTAATCAATCGATCTCATCAATCTCTGCAGCTGGATCTGGAAATAACCAGAGATAACACACACACACACACACACACACACACACACACACACACACACACACACACACACACACACACACACACACACAGAGCTACTGGCATTCCACCCAAGTTACGAATCTCCTATTTTATACACAGGGAAGTTGAAGTTGAGAATAAGTTCATAGAATTTTGGGGTGATCAGAGGCTCAGCAGCCAACAGTGATTTGAGGTTTGGAACAGAGAAGAGGGAAATTGGAAGAAGAGAAGCAGAATACAGTAGCTCATACCTGTAGTCCTACCTGCTCAAGAGGCTGAGATCCAAGGTTCAAAGTTCTAAGCCAGCCTGAGCAGATAAATCCATGCTGATTTATCTCCAGGTAACTAACAAAATGCCAGAAATGGAGGTGTGGCTCAAATGGTAGAGCACCAGCCTTGAGGGAAGAAGCCAAATGAGAGCTTGAGACCCTGAGTTCAAGCCCCAGTCTCAGCACAAAAAAAAAAAAAAAAATAGTGGGAGGGAGAAAAGGAGAAAGAGAAAGAAGAGGCAGGTTGGGAGGGAAGCGTTTTCCCATTTTCTCTACCTCTCCGGTGACAGAAGGGGCCTCCAGAGAAGGTGTTAGAATTAAATGTTGGCCAGAGGGTTCTGTGCAGCAGGGGATGCAGGCAGGTCAGGGTGCCTTGGGGTCTGTGATGGGTGGATTCCCTCCCTCTAGACAAGCAAGCCACGCAGAAGCAGGCTGTGAGGGGCAGGGGCAGTCAGCGTGGGGACTGCCCAGCAAAGCCCTTGCACAATTCAGCCCTGCAGACCCTCTCTATCTGCAGGTGCTTTTCTGTCTGTCACTGCTGCTTTTCCAGAACCTCTCCCATTTGAGATCTGCAGCAGACCCTCTCTGCCCATTCTGTGTTGGTGCCATTTTCTCGCACTTTAATTGCTTCCCTCCTCCCAAGTTGTCGATAATATTCTAAGCTTTGTTCATGATAATGGAGTTTTTGTTTGCTTGTTTGTTTTCATACCAGGACTTGAACTCAGGGCCTGGGAACTATCCCTGAGCTTTTTTTTTTTTTTTTTGGTCCGGTCATGGGGCCTGAACTCTGGGTCTGGGCACTGTCCCTCAGCTCTTCAACTCAAGGCTAGCGCTCTACCACTTGAGCCACAGCACCACTTCTGGCTTTTTTTCTTTTTGCTTATGTGGTGCTGAGGAATCGAACCCAGGGCCTCAGGCATGCAAGGCAAGCGCTCTACCACTGAGCCACCTTCCCAGCCCTAGCCCTGAGCTTTTGAGCTCAAGGCTAGTGTTCTACCATTTGAGCCACAGCTACACTTCCAGTTTTTTAAACCGCAGATCTCAACCTCCTGCATAGTCTACATTACAGGCATGAGCCACGGTGCCCAGCAAGTTTTCTTTTATCTTTTTCATATTTTTCTTACCATAAAAAGAAATCTTCGGGGCTGGGAAGGTGGCTCAGTGGTAGAGTGCTTGCCTTGCATGCCTGAGGCCCTGGGTTCAATTCCTCAGCACCACATAAGAAAAAAAAGCCGGAAGTGGCACTGTGGCTCAAGTGGTAGAGCACTAGCCTTGAGTTGAAGATCTGAGGGACAGCATCCAGGCCCAGAGTTCAGGCTCCACGACTGGACCCAAAAAAAAAAAGAAATCTTCATCTTGCTGCTCATTGAAGACACTGATACAGATTGAGTATTGGTTCATTAACATTTTAAATACCATGAATGTTTCCAAAGAAAGTTCTTTTTCTCTAGGGAGAATCCCGATTCTTGTGCATTCCAGTCAAGTGCTTTACTACTGAGCTACACTCCCCATCCCCGAAGGAAGCTCTTCAGCAGCACAGGAACCAAGGCTCTTGGCTCAGCTCCTTTTGGCTCCCATCTCCCGAGGGTGGAGGAGGAGCCGGTACACTGGAACTATGGCTCCTTTCCTACATCGCCTGTGCCCAGCACTGTGTTTAACCTTTAAACCCATTTCCTCCACTCTTGAGGTAGAGCTTGTGATCCCATTCCGCTGGAGAGGAGACTGAGGCCTGTAGAACAAGGAGCCAGAAGCAGCAAGAACTGCAGAGAACCCATTTACCCTGTATTCTTCCCAGTGCACCACAGAAACGGAACCTGTTGTCACCATGACAACCATGGTACCAAACCTGTTGTCACTCTGACAGCTGTGGGTGCTGAATCTGTCGTCACCATGGCAACCGCAGTTGCTAAACCTGTTGTCACCATGACAACTTTCCTGGTTGAGTTTCCCCTGTTGAGCTCATTCTAATCAAAATTTCAGATTTCCCTATCAATAACACGTATGTTCACTTATTTCTATATCCTTCAGTGACATCCCACCATAATAGAAAAGCTCTTCAGCAATTACCAGACATGTAGGATGGGGTCATTAGTGTATAAGGAATATAGCCCAAAAATAAAAATTTTTTAAAAAGGAAGGATCAGGTGCTGGTGGCTCACGCCTGTCATCCTAGCTGATGCAGAAGGCTGAGATCTGAAGATCGCAGTGCAGTGCCAGCCCAGGCAGGAAGGTCCATGAGACTCTTTATATCTCCAGTTAACCAGCAAAAAGCCAACCATGGAGCAGTGGCTAAAGTGATAGAGCTCCTTGAGTGTAAAAGCTGAGAGGCCCTGAGTTCAACCCCCAAGTTCAACCCCCTGCCCAACACACACGAAGTCTGACGAGATGGAAAAGACATAGACTATAACCAGCCACCATGGCATACAGACTCAAATTGCATATTGAACAACCGTGGCAAAACCAGCCGCCTCTGCCTTCAAAGAGCTTGGGAGCAAGAAGCCGCAGGGCAGGGGTGCACTCTGCACTGAGCGCTCCCCACACCACAGGACTCCACATGAGGGCTGGCCACTCACAGCCAAAAGCAGCAGTTTCATACTCAGAAAAAAAATTAGAAGCTAGGTATGGTGCTGCATGCCTGTAATCCCTACACTGCAAGAGGCTGAAGCAGCTCGGGTTACATAGTATGACTGTGCGGAAGAGAGACAGAGGGAGGGGGAAGGGAGGGAGGGAGGAAGGACAAGGAGAAGAGAATGGAAGGAGGGAGGAATAGACACAACACATTTCATTTGTCTGTTTACCAGCCGATAGACATTGGAGATCTTTCTGTTTCTTGTTTTTAGTCAGTGGTAGGGCTCGAACTCAAAGCCTGGGCAACTCTCTCTGAGCTTTAGTCACTCAAGGCTAGCATTCCACCACTTGAGTCACAGTGCCACTTCTGGTTTTCTGGTGGTTAAGTAGCAATAAGAGTCTCACAAAGGCTGGGAAGGTGGCTCAGTGGTAGAGTGCTTGCCTTGCATGCATGAGGCCCTGGGTTCGATTCCTCAGCACCACATAAGCAGAAAAAGTCAGAAATGGCGCTGTGGCTCAAGTGGTAGAGGGCTAGGCTTGAGCTGAAGAGCTGAGGGACAGCGCCCAGGCCCAGAGTTCAAGCCCCATGACTGACAAAAATAAAAATAAAAAGAGTTTCACAGATTTTTCTTCCTGAACTGGCTTTGAACCACAGTCCTCCAGATCTCAGCCACCTCAGTAGCTAGGACGACAGGCGTGAGCTGCCAGACAGTGTCACCCTTTGAAAGCCTCCTGTGCTGTCTTTGTAAGACCATCCTCGGCTGTCACTGGGACAGAAATGGCTCCGCCATGGCTCCCTGGCCAGGGAGAGAAAGCCTCAGATCTCCCTCCTTCCTCCTGGCTCAGGTCGGATGCCTCGTTGTATTGCGACGACGTGGACATTCGCTTCAGCAAGACCATGAACTCGTGCAAAGTCCTGCAGATTCGCTACGCCAGTGTGGAGCGGCTGCTGGAGCGGCTGACCGACCTCCGCTTCCTCAGCATCGACTTCCTCAACACCTTCCTGCACTCCTACCGCGTCTTCACCACGGCCGTGGTGGTGCTGGACAAGCTCATCACCATCTACAGGAAGCCCATCAGCGCCATCCCTGCCAGGTGGGCACTGATCAGATGGGGGGGGACCCTGCTGGAGGGAGGGGGGTTGGGGACTATGACTACATCCATACAATGTGTATTTGTCTCCCATGATCACTGTGAGCGTCAAGGATACATTATGGCTGGCCACGGTGGCTCACACCTGTCATCCTAGCTACTCAGGAAGCTGAGATCTAGAAGATCCAAGTTCAAGATCACCCTTGGCAGAAACTTAGTGAGACCCAATCTCAACCAACAAGCTGAGCATGGTGATTTATGTTTGTGATACCAGCTACTTAGGAGGCGATAGGTAGGAGTATAATCCAGGCCAGCCCAAAGAGAATGTGAGACCTTATCTCCAAACTGACTGAGGCAAGCCAGGCACTGGCGGCTCACACCTGTAATCACAGCTCTCCAGTGGCTGAGAAATGACATTGAGGTTTGAAACCAGCCTGGACAGGAAATCTCCAATTAACCAGCGAAACGCAGGAAATGGAGGAATAGCTCAAGTGCTAGAGCACCTAGCTAGCAAGCATGATACTCTGAGTTCAAACTCTGTATTGCAAAAACTAAAGTAACTCTGTATGGAGCTTGGGGCTCTCCCCGCCCCCAGCCCAGGCCGGCCAGGCTAGGCCGCTCCACCCCTCCCTGCTCTGGGGGGAGGAGTCTGGGGAGCACCCTTGCTCTTCTCCCCTTTCCTCTTTCCATCCCGCCTCCTCTGAGGAGCAGAGAACCCAGCCCCATCCTTCAGTGGAAGGAAGGGAAAGAGAAAAGCAAAGGGAAAGAGCAGGCTCCGGTCACTCACTCCTGTAATCCCAGCTTCTCAGTAGACTGAGATCTGAGGATCAGGGTTCAGAGCCATGAAAGTCTGTGAGATTCCCAGATCCAATTAACTACCAAAAAGCCAGACGTGGAGATGTGGTTCAAGTGGTAAAGCGCCAGCCTTGAGCAGAAAAAGCTAGGCCAGAGCTCAAGGCTCTGAATTCAAGCCCTAGCACACACTGCTTAGACACACTGCCTGGAGAGAAGGGAGCTCTTTGGGGCGCATTGGGCCCGGCAAAGGGCGGGCAGGCCACCCTGACCTTCCAGTCCGCTTTCCTGAAGTCTGCACGGTTGTGGCTCAGGGCTGCCTTAGACCAGCTGGTGCTCAGAGAGGCCAAGGTCCTTTTTTGTGTGCCAGTATTGGGACCTGAACCCTGGGCCCCACACTCACTTGGCTTTTATACTCAAAGCTGGTGCACTACCACGTGAGCCTCATCTTCACTTCCTGTATTTAGGTTGTTCGTTGGAGATAAGAGTCTCACAGTCTTTCCTGCCTGGAGCTGGCTTTGAATCTCAATTCTCCCATCTGAACCTGTCACATAGCTAGGATGGCAGGTGTGAGCCACCAACACCTGGCCTGAGACGCTTTCTGCAGGGCCCTGGTCTCGGGGCTGCCGGGCTCCCTTGCTCACCTCCCACCCCCACCCCCACACCAGATTTACATGTCAGGCCCCTCAAGTGACATGGTAAGACAGAACGCTGGGTTGGGAGTTGGAGGCGTTGGATGAGTCACTTCCTGTCTCTGAGCCTGCACTGCCCCTCAGGACAATTCTAAGGACAGAGAGTGTGTACAAAGATGAACTTAGCCCCCCCCTCCCCCCCCCCCTATAAGATGGAGGGACGTTTTGCAGATCCAGCCAGAGGGATGCAGGAAATAGAGCATCAGATAGCCCCCGCCCCCAGCCACAAAAGCCACACCTCCACCCAGACCACCCAGAGCAAGATACTGCATGTAGGCCAAGCACAGAGGCACACGCCTGTAATCCCAGCTACGCAGGAGCCTGAGATCTAAGGATCACCATTCAAAGCCAACTGGGGCAGAAAAAGCTCAAATGAAGCACCCAAAGAGCCGGGAATGGAGCTGTGTCTCAAGTGGTAGAGCACCAACCTTGAGCCAAAAAAAAAAAGCTCAGGGAAAGCTCTCAGGTCCTGAGTTCAAGTCTCAGTACTGGCATGAAAAGAAAAGGAAACTTTGCCCCCCCAGCTCTTGGAGCACATGGCTCCTGCTCTGATCATCAACCCCCCCCCATTTCTGAGATCAGAGGAATGAGGGGACCCCTGCTGTCCCTGCCCCCCCCAGCCTTGGCCCCGGGGCAGGAAGTGGCTCAGAGACACCCAGACTTCACACTGACCACGATGTGCTTGCCTCCCTCCAGGTCTCTGGAGCTGCTGTTTGCCAGCGGCCAAAACAACAAGCTGCTGTACGGCGAGCCCCCCAAGTCGCCCCGCGCCACCCGCAAGTTCTCCTCACCCCCGCCCCTGGCCATCAGCACCTCGTCGCCCAGCCGCCGCCGGCGAAAGCTGTCCCTCAACATCCCCATCATCACGGGCGGCAAGGCGCTGGACCTGGCCGCCCTCAGCTGCAGCTCCAACGGCTACACCAGCATGTACTCCGCCATGTCGCCCTTCGGCAAGGCCACGCTGGACACCAGCAAGCTCTACGTGGCCAGCAGCTTCGCCAACAAGATCCCAGACGAGGGCGACGCAGGCCCGGAGAAGCCGGAGGAGCCCTTGCCCTTCTGCAAGCAGAGTGCGTGCACACAGGGCCCGCCAGGCTGGGGCTCAGCCTTGGGGGCCTCTGGCTGGTTCTTGGGTCTTACAGACCGAAGGGGAGGACTGGGGGGGGACGAGGAGCGGGGCAGCCAGGTAGGGATGGCAGAGTAACGCCACCTGGAGCTGAGCGGCCTACTTCAGCTACATATCAGCTGTCATGCTAGCTGCTCCAGAGGCTGAGAGCTAAGGATCAAAGTTCAAACCCAAGCCCAGGCAGGAAAGTCTGTGAGGCTCTTTCTGTTGTTGTTGTGGTAGGTCATGGGCTTGAACTCTGGGCGAGCGCTCTACCACTTGAGACACAGCACCACTTACAGTTTTTTGGTGCTTTATTGGAGATAAGAGTCTCACGGACTTTCCTGCCCGGCCTGGCTTTGAGCTGCAATCCTCAGATCTCAGCCTCCTGAGTCGCTAGGATTACAGGCATGAGCCACAGGCACCCGGCTTTTTTTTTTTTTTTTTTTAATCAGTTGTGGGACTTGAACTCAGGGCCTGGGCCAATGTCCCTGTGCTTCTTCAATCAAGGCTAGCGCTCTACCATGTTAAATGAGCCACAGCGCCACTTCTGACTTTTTGCTGGTTCATTGGAGATGAGTCTCACAAACTTTCCTGCCTAGGCTGACTTCAAACCTCGATCCTCAGAACTTAACCTCAGTAGCTGGGATTAAAAGCATGAGCCACCAGCACCCAGCTTAGCTCTGTTTATTCTTTTCTTCCCTTTTCTTTTCTTTTCTTTTCTTTATTGTCGGTTGAGGGGCCTGAACTCTGGGCCTAGGCTCTGTCCCTCAGCTCTTCAGCTCAAGGCGAGCGCTCTACCACTTGAGCCACAGCGCCACTTCTGGTTTTCTGAGTGGTTTATTGGAGATAAGAGTCTCACAGCCTTTCCTGCCCTGGCTGGCTTTGAACCACGATCCTCAGATCTCAGCCTCCTGAGTAGCTAGGATTATAGGTATGAGCCACTGGCACCCAGCTAGCTCTGTTCTTCTTATTTTTATTTTTATTTCTTTCTTTATTTTTGTTGGTTGTGGGCCTGAACCTGGGCCTGAGCGCTGTCCCTCAGCTCTTCAGTTCAAGGCGAGCACTCTACCACTTGAGCTACAGCACGATTTCCGGTTTTCTGGTGGTTTATTGGATAGGAGTTTCATGGTCTTTCATGCCCGAGCTGGCTTTGAACCGGGATCCTCAGATCTCAGCCTCCTGAGTAGCTAGGATTACAGGCGTGAGCCACCGGCGCCTAGCTAGCTCTGTTTATTCTTGAACCTTGATTTTATCCTTTACTATTACAGTGATCTTTCAGCCCTTATTTTTGGTTCTGTCACAACTCTTCAACCCAATGCATTGTTATTATTATAACTATGCTTTACTACTTAACTATTATTATTGTATTATTACTACAACTATTATTATTACTTTGTTAGGTTTTCTACTTACTCTTCTTACCCTAGCCATCCTCCCTTAGTTTAATGATAGAGCATTAGTCTAGAATGTGCAAGGTTCAAGTTCCTTTCACCACACACACATACACACACACATGTATGCACAAACGCACACACACACACACACACACACAGGGAAGGAGGAAGAAAAAGAGACAGAATGAGAGCAAGGCCTTGCTGGTTCATGGGCACTGCTTCCTGTCTGTTCATGCCAAAGGGGCATCACAGGACCTAGCGAAAACTGCAGGCTCTCTAGAGCCAGGGGAGACTCCAAATTACAACCTGCATTCCATCAAGATTCAGAAAGCCAGCCAGGCGCTGGTGGCTCACGCCTGTAATCCTAGCTACTCAGGAGGCTGAGATCTGAGGATCGCGGTTCAAAGCCAGCCCGGGCAGGAGAGACCGTGAGACTCCTATCTCCAATAAACCACCAGAAAACCGGAAGTGGCGCTGTAGCTCAAGTGGTAGAGCCCTCGCCTTGAGCTGAAGAGCTGAAGGACAGCGCCCAGGCCCAGAGTTCAAGCCCCACGACCGACAAAAAAAAAAAAAAAGATTCAGAAAGCCAGGTGCCATCAGCTCATGCCGGTAATCCCAGCTACTTAGGAGGCTGAGTTCTGACGATCAAGGTTTCAAGTCAGCCTACACAGATAAGTCTGAGACTTTTCTTTTTTTTGCCAGTCCTGGGCTTGAACCAGGACCTGGGCACTGTCCCTGAGCTCCTTTTGCTCAAGGCTAGCACTCTACCACTTAAGCCACAGCACTACTTCAAGCTTTTTCTGTATGTGTGGTACAGAGGAATCAAACCCAGGGCTTCATGCATGCTAGGCAAGCACTCTACCACTGAGCCACCTTCCCAGCCCTCTGTGAGACTCTTATCTCCAATTAACCAGAAAAAAGACAGAAGTGGAGGTGTGGCTCAAGTGATAGAGTGCCAATCTTGAGTGGAAAAAATGTTGGGGGAGAGCTCAAGGCTCTGAGTTCAAGTCCTAGTACCAACACAAAGGAAGAAAGGAAAGGAGGGAGGGCAGAAAGAAGAGAGAGAGAAAAAGGCAAATCCAGAGAAGTCCAGCTACCGCAAACGCCCTGTTGGAGAGTCTCCAGGTGCTGGGTGATGTGAAAGGTTCTGCTAAGGCCTGTGGCAAACCCAGCCATGCAGCTTCCTTCATTCAGGATGGCACTGACTGCTCCACCTTGCCGTGAGGAATTATAGGCAGGAATGCTCAGCTCCAAGAATAATTAAGAATGGAAATCCCTCTCTTTCCTCCCAGACTCCGAAGTCTCTGTGAGGGAAGAGTCAGACGGCGACCAGAACCAGAGCGATGAAGGTGACGCCGAGACATCGCCAACTAAGTCTCCCACGACACCCAAATCCATCAAAAGCAAAAGCTCTTCAGGTGCGGGTTAGGATTCCCGGGGGAGAGGGGGTCAGGTTGGCCCTGGCGGCTGCGTGTGGTTTGGGGTGTTTTGTCTTGTACTGATTTCTAGGGCTTGAACTCAGGGCCTTGGACTCTCCCTTGGCTTTTCCACTCAAGGAAAGCCACACATCTGCTTCTGGCTTTTTGCTGGTTAACTGGGCCAGTCTGAGCTAGCTTCGAACTGTGATCCTCAGATCTTACCCTCCTGAGCAGCCTGGGTTACAGGTGTGAGCCACCAGCACCCGGCTCTGTGCATTTTATGAGTGACTTCCACAGCAGGGACTATTGCACCGTTTCACAACCGAGAGGCTGTGGGTGCTGGAATGTAGGCTAGGTGAATTCTGTTTTTCTTCTGGACTTAATGAAGCCACCCACCATTGACTGGAATATGGCTCAGCCTCTGATTCACTGGCAGGGTACAGCACCCATGTCTTCCTCCTGGGAAAACTGGAGCAGTCGTGTTCCCTGGGATGTGTGGGATGTGTGGATGTGTGTGGTGCGTGTGCTGGTACTGGGGCTTGAATCCAGGGCCTGGGTGCGCCTCTTGGTTTTTTTCACTCAAGACCTGGTACTCTACCACTTGGGTCACAGCTCCACTTCTGGCTTTTTGCTGGTCCGTTGGAGATAAGAGTCTCACAAACTTCCCTGCCTGGGCTGGCTTCCAACCACTGATCCTCAGATCTGTCTTCTGGTAGCTAGGATGGCAGGCATGAGCCACTTATGCCTGGCTTTTCAGAATCTTGATAGATTGCAGGTTGTAATCCAGGGTTTCCTCTGGCTCCAGACATTCTCTGATGCCCAGCTACAGCCTTTTTCTTAACAGGTTCATAGAGAGCCCAGGGGCTGAGCATGTAGCTCAGAAGTAGAGCACTTGTTTCCCACGTGCAAGGGCCCAGGTTCAGTCCTCACCATGCAAAAAAGAAAAGAAATGCTCTGAGAAGTGGTGACACTGTCAACCCCATATCCCAGATTTAGTCCTGAGGGGCCTCAAAACCAACCTAGCTGGGTACCAGTGGCTCACACCTGTCATCCTAGTCAGGAGGCTGAGAATTGAGGATAGTGGTTTGAAGCCAGCCCAGGCAGGAAAGTCTGTGAGACTCTAGTGAACTACCAAAAAAGCTAGAAGTGGAGCTGTGGCTCAAGCAGTAGAGCACTAGCCTTGAGTGAAAAAGCTCGGGGACGGGGTCCAGGTTCTGAGTTCAAGCCCCACCACTGAAAAAAAATAAAGGCTAGCCTGAGGCCAAGCCCTGGTGGCTCACTCCTGTAATCCTAGCTACTCAGGAGGCTCAGATAGGAGGATCGCAACTCAAAGCCAGCTGTGAAACTCTTATCGCCAATAAACCACCAGAAAACCGGAAGTGGCGCTGTGGCTCAAGTGGTAAGAGTGCTGGCCTTGAGCTGAAGAGCTGAGGACAGTACCCAGGCCCATAGTTCAAGCCTCATGACACACACACACACACATACACACACACACACACATACACACACAAAGCCAGCCTGGTCCCTAGTGCCCATAGTATACCACCTGCTATCAGAAGGGCTCTGAGACCCCAAAGGTGGGAGAGCTCAGAGGACCCTGAATCCCAGGACAGCCCTACTGGCCTCATGCTTCCTTCCCTGGGCCCCAGCCCCACATACTGGGGTCAGCCCAAGACCCAGACCCCCAGCTATCCAGGAAGTAGTGGTAACCTGTTTCTAGAGAGTAACTATTGGGTGCCCTCAAGCCAGAAAATAGCCTGTCAACCAGGCACCCATAGCTCCCACCTGTAATCCCAGCAACTCAGGAGGCTGAGATCTCAGAATGGAAGTTTGAGGCTAGCCCAGGCAGAAATGTCCATAAGATTCTTACCTCCAGTTAACCACCGGAAAAACCAAAAGTGGAGCTGTGACTCAGAATGGTCAGAGTACAGGCCGGGCACCAATGGCTCACGCCCGTGATTCTAGCTTTTCAAGAAGCTGAGATCTGAGTATCCCAGCTCAAAGCAAGCTCGGTCAGGAAAGTTCATGAATCTTTGTCTCCAATAAATTACAAAAAAAGCCAGAAGTGGAGTTGTTATTAAAGTGGATAAGGCGCTAGCCTTAAGCAACAGAAGTTAGGGACAGTGTGCAGGTCCTGAGTTCAAGCCCCAGGAATAGCAAAATTAAAAAAAAAAATTTCTGGGGTCACCTCTAATATTGTCAACATTTTTATTATTGTCACTGTTATTGCTATTAATAATATAACAAGACATCTATACAGCTTTTCATCGAATACATACTACTTTCGTGGATGCCAGCTCCTTTCAGCGTTACATCCACCATTGGAAATGGCATTCCCCCTATTATCCAGGGACTAAGGAGACTTGGAGAGGTTAAGTGGCTAGCCCAAGGTCACACAGCCCGTGCGGAGTAGGGAAGAATTTCCATGCAGGTGGATGGATCGTGAGTGGCAATGTGCTCACAGACTCGCTCACAGACTCTGTGCGTGCTGATGGCACAGGAGAAGCTCAGGATGCCACACAGCCCGTGCGGAGTAGGGAAGAATTTCCATGCAGGTGGATGGATCGTGAGTGGCAATGTGCTCACAGACTCTGTGCGTGCTGATGGCACAGGAGAAGCTCAGGATGCCGCCCGGGAACACAGGACCTAGAGAGCCGACAAGGGCAGGATCAAGAGCCACAGAGAGGCCAGATGGGAGGCAGAGGCTGGCACAGCAGCACCCTTCCCAGCCACCGCACTGCCAAGCGCCCTCGAGTGCTGGTGAAGGCTGCACAGGTCCTGCTTTTGTTTTTGCCAGTCCTGGGCCTTGAACTCGGGGCCTCTTGCTGTCCCTTAGCTGTTTGTTGTTATTGTTTATTGGATGCGGTCGTGGGGCTTGAACTCGGGGCCTAGGTGCAGTCCCTGAGCTTGTTTTGCTCTAGGCTAGCACTCTACCACTTGAGCTCCAGCTCCACTTCCAGCTTTTTTTTTTCTTGTTGTAGTTTATTGGAGATAAGTGTCTCACAGACCTTCGCCCAGGCTGGCTTCAAACCATAATCCTGATCTCAATCTCCTGAGAAACTGGGATTACAGGTGTGAGCCACCAGCACCCGGCTTCCTTAGCTTTTTTTGCTCAAGGCTCTACAATTGAACCACAGCTCCACTTCTGGCTTTTTTTTTGGTGGTTCATTAGAGCTAAGAGTCTCACAGATGTTCCTTCCCGGGCGGGCTTCAAACCGCCATTCTCAGATCTCAGCCTCCTGAGTAGCTAGGATGGCAGGCGGGAGCCTCCAGTGCTCATGTGGGCCCGGCTTTGTGCCTGCCCGAGGGATGGGCCAGGGAATGGCTGAAGGCCGGTGCCCTCCTCTCTGCAGAGTTCCCCCTCTTTTCCTACAACAATGGGGTAGTGATGACCTCGTGTCGGGAGCTGGACAGCAACCGCAGCGCCCTCTCCGCTGCCTCTGCTTTCGCCATAGCCACCGCGGGAGCCAACGAGGGCACCCCGAACAAGGAGAAGTACCGCCGGGTGTCGCTGGCCAGCACAGGTACCCGCATCCCTGCTTACAGAGCCTCCAGGCGCAGACCCCAGGGCACTGGTGTGGGGGAACCCCCGGGGCCCATGATGGCCCTGCATTGGGTATTTACTACACTGGGGATTTGGGCACCAGTGGCTCACACCTGTATCCCGGCTACTCAGGAGGCTGTGGTCTGAGGATCATGGTTCAAGGCCAGCCCAGGAAGGACAATCTGAGACTTCCAGTTAACTACCAAAAGAGAACTAGAGTTGGGGGGGGCTCCTGGTTCATTGGGTCTGGGAGCTGAACCTAGACAGGAGTTCCCCGTTTCATGTAGTCCTCTGTCCCCCCACCCACCCCCCCGCCCTCATCCCCCGGCAGGCTTTCCCCCTGACCAGCGCAATGGGGACAAGGAGTTCGTGATCCGCCGGGCAGCCACGAACCGCGTGCTCAATGTGCTGCGACACTGGGCCTCCAAGCACTCGCAGGTGGGTGAGCCCCCACCTCACACCCGGCCCCGCCGGGTGGGCTTCAGGGGCCCTGCATGGTAACCGGCCACCTGGAGCTTGCTGTGAACAACAAAGCTGGTCAAGAGAAGAAGCCCAGGGGCAGCACCGCGCCCTGCCCCATGAGAGAGTCAAGGACAGTCACCCCAACTGGGGTCACCCCGCCTCTGGCGGCCTGGGGCACAGCAGCTGAGGAATGGCCCCCAGTTGTGCCCCAAGGGTCTCATACCTCAAAGACTCAAAGTAAGCTGGGCACTGGTGGTGACCTCTGTAATCTCAGCTACTCAGGAGGCTGAGATCTGAGGATCGCAGTTTGAAGCCAGCCTGGGCCGGAAAGTCCATGAGCCTCTTAGCTCTAATGAGCCATCAGACAGCCAAAGTGGAGCTGTGTCTTTATTGGTAGAGCACCAGCCTTCAGCAAAAAAAAAAAAATCTCGGGGACAGCATGCAGGCCCTGAGCTCAAGCTCCAGGACTGGCATCAAAAAAAAGAAAAAAAGGCCTACCTTGGCCTGACTCAGTGGGTGAGGAAACAGGACAGCCACACTGGCGTAGAGACACAAGCAGTAGCTCCCTCCTGCTGCCAGGCCCAGAGCATTGTCAGATGGCTCGGACATACTAGCCCGAGCCCCATCCCCTCTTCCACAGGACTTTGAAACCAATGAGGAGCTCAAGTGTAAGGTGATCGGCTTCCTGGAAGAAGTCATGCATGATCCCGAACTCCTGACCCAGGAGCGGAAGGCAGCGGCCAACATCATCAGGTGAGGAAGGTGCAGACCCCAGCTCCATGAGGCCCGCAGGGCCCGGGGCAGACACAGGAGGAGGGGTTGCTCAGGAAGATGTGTTAGGGGAGAGATGACACGTGGCCAGTCCATCTGTCCATCCCCCACCAGACCTTGATTTCCTTAAGGCCTAAGCCTCACTGCTGGTCTAAGTGCCTCAGTGAACGAGAACTGAATAAAATTACAATTGAGTCTCCTGTGGCTAGTGTACACCAAACACCCCATTTCTCACTGTAGAAAGTTCTGGTGCAGCCAGGTGCCAGTGGCTCCTCATGCCTGTAATCCCAGCCACTCAGGAGGCTGAGATCTGAGGATCGCAGTTCCATGCCAGCCCAGGCAGGAAAGCCCATGAAACTCCTATCTCCAATGAACTTCCAAAAAGCCCAGAAATGGAGGTGTGGATCAAGTGGTAGAGCGTCAGCCTTAAGCAGAACTGCTCCGGGACAGCGCCCAGGCCCTGAGGTCTAGCCCCAAGACAGGCACTTAAAGAAACAAGCCTGGCACCAGCGACTCACGCCTGTATTCCTAGCTACTCAGGCTGAGATCTGAGGATCACAGTTCAAAGCCAGCCCGGCAAAGGAAAGTCCGTGAGACTCTTATCTCCAATAAACCGCCAGAAAACCAGAAGTGTCTCTATGGCTCAAGTGGTAGAGCCCTATCCTTGAGCTGAAGAGCTCAGGGACAGCAGGCCCAGAGTTCAAGCCCCACGATCCACCAAAAAAATATATATATAGCTACAATACTCTATTAACAAAAATTAAGCCAGATACCAGTGGCTCATGTCTATAATCCTAGCTACTCAGGAGGCTGAAATCTGAGGATCACAGTTCAAAGCCAACCTGGGGAGGAACATCTGTGAGACTCTTCCATCCAATTAACCACCAGAAAACTGAAGTGGCGCTGTGGCTCATATGGTAGAGCGCTAGCCTTGAGCTGAAGAGCTCAGGGACAGCGCCCAGGCCCAGAGTTCAATATCAACTAAAAGAAAAAGAGAAGAAGAGAAAAGAGAGTGGGGCTGGAGGAGAGCCGGTCTGCTCCAGCCCTCAGGTGCACCTGTGCCCAGGCTGTCACCATGTATATGTGTCCCTGCAGCCAGGGCCACCCTCTACCCACCCCTCCCACCACGGCTCCCCCGCCACACCCCAGGCCTGGCCCTGCTCCTCAGCCCCCTCAGCGCAGAGTGCATGGCTCTAAGTCCCCTCACAGCAGCAGGAGGCCCGATCGTCAAGGGTCCACCGTGGCTTCTCACCACATCCCCTCCTCCCCCACCCCTGCACACACGGTGAAGCACCTGCTTCCAGTCCCACCTCTGGCCACCCTTGGCCATCTCCACTTCTCTGTGTTCCTCTGCTGGGACCAAGGCTCAGCCTCCAGCAGTCTCCAGCCATGCTGCTCCCCAAGCCTGGAGCAGCCACACGCATGCAGGATGGCCTGCTACCTACGCAGCCAGACCCATGGGCAAATCAGACACGGCTCTGCCCTCCATACCCCCACCCCACCCAGCTGTCCTAGGGTCAGGAGAACCATAAGGAACAGATCAGTGAAGAAGGGAGAGGAGAGGAGCTCTGAGGTGTGTGTGTGTGTGTGTGTCTGTCTGTCTGTCTGTCTGTCTGTCCCAGGGTTCGAACTCAGGGCTTGGGTGCTGTCCCTTAGCTTTTTCACTTAAGGCTGGCATTCTACCACTTGAGCCACACTTCCATTTCCAGCTTTCTGCTGGTTCATTGGCCCTACGAGTCTCACCAATGTTCCTGCCCAGGCTGGCTTCAAACCACGATCCTCAGATCTCAGCCTCCTGAGTAGCTAGGATGACAGGCATGAGCCCCCAGCGCCCTGGGGTGGCGAGACCACCATGCTCTGTGTGCCTGGGCTGGGGAGGGAGAGGTGTCTGAGGTTGGGCCAGGGTTCACCTGCCTCCTTTTCTGCAGGACTCTGACACAGGAGGAGCCAGGGGACAACCAGATCACATTGGAGGAGATCACACAGATGGTGAGCAGAACGGTTCCACCTTCACCCCACCCATGACCCACGGATTCATCACTGCCCATGGCCACGTGCCACAGCGCCTGTGGCTCAGGGTCAGCACATGGAATTCCCTTACAGTTCTGGAGACTGGGAGTGGGGCAGGAAGGAGGCAGCGGGGTCTTGAGCTCTCCGGAGGCTGGGAGCAAGGAGCAGGGAGGGGAGGACCCCTCTTCACCTCTCCCCACTTCTGATGGTCCCATTCCCCCCCCCACCCCGCTCAGCTCACAGTTACATACATACACCACCGCAGTCTCTGCCGCCATGACTGCAAGGCCGTTTCCTCCCTGTGTCTGCACCCTCTTCCCTGTGTCTGTCTGTCTGTCTCTGTGGCCACATGTCTCTTTCTCATCAGGCCCCAAGTCAGATTAGATTAGAGCCAACCCAGCACCCCATCTTCACTTTATTAGAACAACAGACTATTTCCACATATATAAGACCACATTAACAGGCACCTAAGGTTGGGATTTTTGGGGGGTGCCAGCCCTAGGGTTTGAACTCAGGGTCTAGACACTGTCCCTGAGCCTTTTTGCTCAAGGCTAGCGCTCTATCACTTGAACCACAGTGCCCCTTGCAGCTTTTTGGTGGGCCATTGGAGGAAAGAGTCTTACAGACTTTCCTGCCCAGCTGGCTTCAAACCTCAGTCCTCAGATCTCAGCCTCGTGAGTAGCTGGGATGACAGGCATGAACCAACCAACCTGGCTCCCCAGTATTCTTATCAGCAATGCTCCATTATTCCCCAGTGTTACAGATGGGAAAACTGAGGCTGGGGAGCTGATGTTACCGGCCAGGGCTGTGCAAGGGAGGTAACAGTGCAGAGCCCAGCAGAGCCCCTTCCCCACCACCCTGTCTGGACTGAGCCCCGTGGGTGGCTGTGCCCCTCCCAGAAACAGCCACGAGTAATGAATAGCCGCCTCCACGCCCTTCCAGAGCCCGACGAGGACCTGCCTCCCCAAGTTGCTGTTTGCACCCCCAGAATGTCCCGATGAGCCATACAGTGCTCTCAGCCCTGCATCGCGGTGCCAGAGGCACAAGACAGACTCACTCTAGCTAAGCACCGGTGGCTCACGCCTGTCATCCCAGCTACTCAGGAGGCTGAGATCTGAGGATCACAGTTCAAGGCCAGCCTGGGCAGGAAAGCCCATAAGACTCTTATCTCCCATGAACCACCAGAAAAATGGAGGTAGGGTTGCAATTCAATGTGGTAGAGCATTAGCCTTGAGCAAAAGAGCTCAAGGACAGCCCCGGGCCTCAAGTTCAAACCCCACAATCAACTAAAAGGAAAAAAAAGGAGCAAGAGGGTTTTTTGCTCCCTTGTGAACAGTTGGAAGTCCTTCCAAAGCTGGCTCCGGCCCTGGCCAGGTCCCCAGAGCTTGCCAAGGGCAGACAGCCCCGGGGAAAGGCCAGTGCCCTCAGCAGAAAGAAAGGCCTCTTAGGAAAGATGGCAGAAGTTGTCAACTCTAATCCTTGCTTCCTGGGTCCCCCTCTCCATGGTCCATACCCAAAGCCCCCAGACCGTCCTGGCCCAGAGCTCATGTAGTCTCTGGAATGCTGGATCACACCTCCAGGCTGTCCGCCTGGATTCCCCCTGAGCCATCCTGGGTTTGCGCCCAGGGCTCTCAGGCCCTTCTTTCCCAGAAACAGCAACTCCAGAGGCCTGGCTGCAGACTCATCCTGGGGAGGGGGCTGGACTCCATCCCCCACACCCAGGCCCTGCATGTACACTTCCCATCGGGGCCTCTGTTTCCTGCCCTAGTGACTCAGCCAGGAAGCATTCTCCAGCACATCCAACCCCACACCCAGGAGCCACCCTCCCCTCCCCCACCCCGGCCTTTACTGTGTCCACACCACAGCACACAGGGCCTCCACCCCTGTGCCTCCGTGAAGCTGGGCTCCGGAACCCACAGCCAGGGCCTAGGGCGCGATTGGCCCTCACTGTTGGCAGATAAACTAAGAAAGAGGGGAAAAATAGCTTGGAGGAGCACCCTGTCCCCCGGGTATGGGTGGACCCCAGTTCACTTGGTTTTGCCGGGAGGAAGGCTTGTTTCTTGTTTTTGTGTGTGTGTGCCCATCCTGGGGCCTGGGAACTCTCCCTGAGCTTTTGTGCTCAAAGCTAGTGCTCTACCACTTGAGCCACAGCTCCACGTCTGGCTTTTTGCTAGTTTGTTGGGCATAAAAGTCTCACAGACTTTCCTGTCCCATCTGGCTTCAAATTGTGATCCTCAGAGCTCAGCCATGTAAGCAGCTGGGATTACAGGCCTGAGCACCAAGGCCTTACTTCCCCTGTGATCAGTGCGGCGGGCGCACTTGGGCAGCTAGTGGGCCAGCAATAGGCTCATACAGGCTGGGTGGAGTGACAGGAGAAAGGGGAAGTCCTGATAGGGTAGGCAGGTCCCACTCTAAGTTACTCCTGCTGCATGATGGCCTGTCCTGATTGGTCACAAAAGTATGGGGGCTTCTTGTTCCTGATTCCTTCCTCAGTGGACCAGCACAGCTGTCCCTGTCCCCTTCATTCTCCCCTCCAGGCCCCTCCCCTGATCCAGCAGATCAAGGCAGCCTTCCTGCATCTGCCCCTCATCCAACCCCTGCCTATCGCCTGGCTAAGGTTTCCCTGAGGGTCAGGCGCCAGTGGCTCACGCCTGTCAGCCCAGCTACTCAGGAGGCTGAAATCTGAGGATTGAGGTTCGGAGCCAGCCCAGGCAGGAAGGTCCATGAGACTCTTGTCTCCAATGAACCACCAGAAAACCAGAAGTGGTGCTGTGACTCAAAGTGATAGAGCGCTAGCCTTCAGTGATAAAGCCAGGGACAGTGCCCAGGGCTGACAAAAGGAAAAAAAAAGTGGAGCTGTGGGGCTGGGAAGGTGGCTCAGTGGTAGAGCGCTTGCCTTGCATGCCTGAGGCCCTGGGTTCGATTCCTCAGCACCACATAAGCAAAAAGAAAAAAGCCGGAAGTGGCGCTGTGGCTCAAGTGGTAGAGCGCTAGCCTTGAGCTGAAGAGCTGAGGGACAGCGCCCAGGCCCAGAGTTCAGGCCCCATGACCGAACCCCCTCCCCCCCCCCAAAAAAGTGGAGCTGTAACTGAAGTGGTAGAGCACCAGCATTGAGCACAAAAGCTAAGAAACAGTTCCCAAGCCCTGAGTTCAAGCCCCAGGACTGGCATTTTTTAAAAAAGGACCTGCCAGGCACTGTTGGCTCATGCCTATAATCCTAACTACTCAGGAGGCTGAGATCTGAGGATTGTAGTTCAAAGCCAGCCTGGGTAGGAAAGTCCATGATACTCTCATCTCCAATAAACCACTGAGAAAACCAGAAGTAGCACTGTGGCTCAAGTGTAGAGCGCTCGCCTTGAGCTGAAGAGCTGAGGGACAGCGCCCAGGCCCAGAGTTCAGGCCCCATGACTGACAAAAAAAAAAAAGGACCAGGTGCTGAATACCCTTAGAGACCATGTCCACAGCTGACCCTGGGGTTCTGGGACATGGCAGCAAAGCACTGGAGCCAGATGCTTGTCTTCAGAGCCCAGGAGAGGAGTATTGTCCCAAGAGCTAAACACACCTAATGACTCGAAAGGAAATTACAATGTTGAACATGGTGGCACACACCTGTAGTACCAGCTAGCTACTCAGGAGGATGGGGAATCCAAGGCTGTCCCAGACAGGGCAAAAGTGAGACCTTATTTGAAAAATGTATAAAGTGGCCAAGTACCAGTGGCTCACACATGTCATCCTGTCTACCCAGGAGGCTGAGAACTGAGGATCACTATTCGAAGCCAGTCCATAGGATTCTTATCTCCAGTTAATCACAGAAAAGGCCAGAAGTGGGGCTGTAGCTCAAGTGGGAGAGCGCGAACTTTGAGCTAAAGGAACTCAGGGACTGTGCCCAGGCCCAGAGTTCAGTAGATAAATAAATAAATAAATGTAAAGGGTTGGGGGAGGGGGAGGAGGTTCAGTAGTGAAGCACTTCAGATCTTACCAATGATGGATGGGTAGATGGATGGATGGATGGATGGGTGGATGGATGGATGGAAATTACATTGAGCCAGCTAGATTTCTAACACAAATGTGCAGTCACAGCAGTTGTCAGATGACGGGCACTCTTGTGGGCTAGTTGCTGACCTCCTGCATGGGGTGGGTGGCAGCAGCTTCCTGCACAGTGACAGGCTTCATGCACACAGGCCACAGGAACTCCCCATCCACCAGAGCCGAGCTGTGGGCCTGACTGCGTGCTTGCTTCCACAGGCCGAGGGCGTGAAGGCCGAGCCTTTTGAAAACCACTCAGCCCTGGAGATCGCAGAGCAGCTGACACTGCTGGACCACCTGGTCTTCAAGAAGATTCCGTACGAGTAAGTGGAAGTCCCCGTCCCCACCCCCATGCACACAGCGCCTCACACATCTTCAAGCTATCCCTGAGCAGCGCGGATTCCCCACCCACGGCATCCCTTCCTGCCCCATGGCCTCTCCTTGCCCATCAGCTGCACACACAGAAGAAGCACCTGTAATCCAGTTCCTAGTCTAGAGGTCTAGAGCATGTGTTCATGTGCATACACACATGGAGAAAGGCGAGCTGGGCACCTGTGGCGCACGCCTGTAATCCCAGCAACGCAGGAGGCTGAGATCTGAGAGTTGCAGTTGGAAGCCAGCCTGGGCAGGAAAATCCATAAGACTCTTTATCTCCAATTAAGGAGCAAAGAGCTGGAAGCGGAGGTGTGGGTTAAGCGGTAGACCATCAGCCTTGAGGGGGGGAAAAGCTAAAGGAAACCGGGCGTCGGTGGCTCACGCCTGTAATCCTAGCTACTCAGGAGGCTGAGATCTGAGGATCGCGGTTCAAAGCCAGCCCAGGCAGGAGAGACCGTGAGACTCCTATCTCCAATAAACCACCAGAAAACCAGAAATGGCGCTGTAGCTCAAGTGGTAGAGCGCTCGCCTTGAGCTGAAGAGCTGAGGGACAGCGCCCAGGCCCAGAGTTCAAGCCCCACGGCCGACAGAAAAAGAAAATGAGGAGGGGGTAGGGAAGGAAAGGGGAGGGAAAAAAAAGAAAAGAAAAATAGGAGGGAGGAAGGAAGGAGGAGGAGGAGGAAGACAGGAGAAGAAAGGGGGGAGAGAGGAGGGGAAGGAAATCATGTTTCCAGAAATGATCACCTCACAAAGCAGTGAAATGAGTGAGGCCATCCTAACCCAGCCTTGTGTCCCCGCAGGGAGTTTTTCGGCCAGGGATGGATGAAGCTGGAGAAGAACGAGCGGACGCCTTACATCATGAAAACCACCAAGCACTTCAATGATGTGAGTATGAGCGGCCGGCGGCGGGCCGAGGGGACAGGGCCTGTCCTTCTGTCCTTCTGGCAAGAGCCAGGCCGCCCAGGTCCTCTCTCATACCCCAGCCACCAGCCTCAGTGCCACCCTCTGTTAAATGGGCTGATCCTGGAAAAGCCCCAGGTGAGCAAAAGGCAGAGTGGGGAAAGGAAGAAAGACTTGCCCACCGTGCTGATTTGGGAGGTAAGGGAGGTACGGGGGCTTGAACTCAGGACCTCGTACTCTCACTTGACTTTTTGGCTTAAGGCTGATGCTCTACTGCTTAAGTCACATCTCTACTTCTGGCTTTTTGCTGGTTCATTAGAAATCAGAGGCTCTTGGGTTTTTCTTCTGGGACTGGCTTTGAACTGTGATCCTTAGATCTCAGCCTCCTGAATGTCAGCTGCTCTGGCCCCAGCCCCCATGGCTTTTTTTTTCTAGTTGTGGGGCTTGAACTATGGTCCTAGGGGCTGTCCCTGAGCTCTTCAGCTCAAGGCTAGCGCTCTACCACTAGCCACCTTCCCAGCCCCCATGGCTTTAATAAAGTATAAGATTGGCCTCTCAGAAAAGCATCTAAGAGACAGAGCATCCAGCCACTAGGAGGCCCCAAGCAGACAGCATAAAGGGCCCAAGCTGGCTGTGTAGAGGGCTGGCACACACACACACACACACACACACACACAGAGTATGTGCGTGCATGCATAAATGCAAACATCCACTCCCAGAAATCTTCTGGGAAATGCAGAAATATCACAGAGTTGGGCACCAGTGGCTCACACCTGTAATCCTAAGTACTCAGGAGGTTGAGATCTGAGGATTGAGGTTCAAATCCAGCCCAGGTAGGAAAGTCTAGGAGACTCTTACCTCCAATAAACCACCAAAAGACCAGAAGTGCTGGGCTCAAGTGGTAGAGCACTAGCCTTGCACACTCAAGGTTCTGAGTTCAAGCCCAGGCATGGCAAAAAGGAAAGAAAGGAATGAAGGAAAGGAAGGAAGGAAAGAAGGGAAGAAAGGAAGGAAGGAAAGAAGGAAGGAAGGAAGGAAGAAAGGAAGGAAGGAAGGAAGGAGAGGAAGGAAGAAAGGAAGGAAGGAGAGGAAGGAAGGAAGGAGCAAAGGGATCAGCAGCACAGAGCCAGGTGCTGGGCTCACTCTTGCGATCCTCAGGAGGCTGAGATCTGAGGATCCAAGTTTGTAGCCATCCAGGGCTGGAAAGTCTGTGAGACTCTTATCTTCAATTTATCAGCAAAAGTTCAAACCCCAGAACTGGCACTGTATATATACTTTTTAATAATATATATAGCATATATAATATTTAAAATATAACATATAAATATGTTATAAATAACACATACTACATATTAAACATAAGTATATAATTTTTTAAAAATCCAGTCCTAGCAACCTGCCCGTATTTGGTGGGGCTCCAAGCCCTGGATCCGAGGCCCCGCCCCATCCCAGGCTCGTGACAGTCCAGAGATCTTTGGCTCGGAGTCTTCATGCCAGAGTGTAATCATCACCATAAGCAGAGAGCCCTTGCCAGTGGCTGGGAACACATGAGTCCACTTAGCCTGTCAGCTGGCAACCCTAGCCAGGGGAGGCCTGAGGAACACACCCCATCCTGGAACACCCCCGGCAGTCAGAGGGAAACAAGAAAGACTGGGCTCTCCCACAGAGGGCCGCAGAGGCCAGGCCCGCAGAGCAGCCCAGCGACTCTCCACCCTGTCCATCCTGCCATGTGCCACGATGGAGCAAGTTTAACACAAGATCCCAAGTGAAGCCGGGCACAGCAGCTCACGCCTGCCGTCTCTCCAGCTTCGCAGGAGGCTGAGATCCCAGGATCACAGTTTGAAGCCAGCCCAGACAGATTTGAGAGACTCTTCTCTCTAGTTAAGCAGCAGAAAACAGGAAGCAGAGGTTTGATGCAGTAGAATGTCAGCTTTGAATTAAAAGGCCAAGCCAGAACATCAGGCTCTTGAATGCAAGTCATGGTTCAAAGCCAGCCCAGGGAAGGAACGTTCACAAAACCTTTATGTCCAGTTAACCAGCAAAAGGCTGAAAAAGAAACTGTTAAGTAAGTAGTAGAGCGCTAACCTTGAGCATAAAAGCTCAGGGACAGTGCTCAGGCTCTTGAGTTCAAGCCCCAGGACTGGCACCAAAAAAAAAATTATATTTGAGGTTTCTTAGTGGTAAAATTCTTTTTTTTTTTTTTTTTTGGTCAGTCATGGGGCCTGAACTCTGGGCCTGGGCACTGTCCCTCAGTTCTTCAGCTCAAGGCTAGTGCTCTACCACTTGAGCCACAGTGCCACTTCTGGCTTTTTCTGTTTGTGGTGCTGAGGAATCGAACCCAGGGCCTCATGCATGCAAGGCAATCGCTCTACCACTGAGCCACCTTCCCAGCCCCAGTGGTAAAATTCTTTTATTTTTTGTTCTTGTTAGTCAGAGGGCTTGAATTCAGGGCCTGAGCACTGTCCCTGAGCTCTTTTGTTCAAAGCTAGTGCTCTACCACTTTGAGCTGCAGCACCACTTCTGAGTTTCTAGTGGTTCATTGGAGATAAGAATCTCATGGACTTTCCTGCCTGGGCTGGCTTTGAACTGCGAGCCTCAGATCTCAGCCTCCTGAGTTGCTAGGATGACTGGTGTGAGCTACCAGCACCCACTGAGCTTAGTTCTTTGATTTTTATTCAGTTATAAATATCCTTTTAGGGCTGGGAAGGTGGCTCAGTGGTAGAGCGCTTGCCTTGAGCTGAAGAGCTGAGGGACAGCGCCCAGGCCCAGAGTTCAGGCCCCATGACCGGACCCCCCCAAAAAAAATAAATAAATAAATATCCTTTGAAAGCCTATATTTTTCAAATAATAATCTCTTTCACTTTTTATTTGCTTATTCACTTTATTTGCTTATTCACTTTTTGTATATGCCAGTACTGGGGCTTAAACTCAGGGCCTTGTGCTCTTGGCTTTTACTCAAGGCTGGAGCTCTACCACTTGAGCCATAGCTCCACTTTTGGCCTTTTGGTGGTTAATTGGAGATAATAGTCTCACAGACTTCCTTGCCTGGGCTGGCTTTGAAACTCCATCTTCAGATCTTAGCTCCTGAGTAGCTAGGATTACAGGCGTGAGCCACTGGCACCTAGCCAAATCTTTTGCATTGCATTTTTTTCCCTTAGTTATTATTCATTTATAACTTTTTTTACATATCGAATACTTGAATATTGAATACTTGAATACTCATTTTTTTAGGATTTTCAACATGGCAGTTGTGTTAGCAGTGAATGAATGAATGATCATTTTTCAGGATACTTATTCCTCTTCCTTTTTTTTTTTTTTCTTTTCTTTGCTGTCTGGTTGCATTGGCTTAAAGATCAGTAACTTGATCGCATCCGAAATCGTCCGCAGCGAAGACATCACGGCCAGGGTGAACACCATCGAGAAGTGGGTGGCTGTGGCTGACATTTGTCGCTGCTTGCACAACTATAACGCCGTGCTGGAGATCACCTCCTCCATGAACCGCAGTGCCGTTTTCCGGCTCAAGAAGACGTGGCTCAAAGTCTCCAAGCAGGTGCGGCAGGAGGCTGACGTTACTGCTTCTTGAAGCAAGGCGGGAGTTGGGACAGGGAGACCCAAGGGCTGGCCACTAGCTGCCAGCAGAAGGTCCAAGGACCAGCTGAGGGTCCACAGTTCTACACCCACTGAGACCAGACATCAGGCCCTCAGATGGAGCAGGGACTTTAATTCCTACTTAAATAATTAATAATAATTAAGCAAGTCAGACACAAGCAGCTCCCAGCCACTCAGAAGGCTAAGATCTGAGGATCATAGTTCCAAGCCAGCCTGGGCAAGAAAGTCCATGAGATTCATCTCCAGCTAACTAGCAAAAAGCTGAAAGTGGATGGTGGTAAAGTACCATAACTGAGCAAAAAAGCCAAGCAAAGAGCTCAAGACCCTGAATTCAAGCCCCCGTATCAATATACACTAAAAAAGTAACGTTGAAATGGGAATTGGGTCTGATGGCTCATGCCTGTAATCTTAGTTACTCAGGAAGCTGAAGTCTGAGGATCACGGTTCAAAGCCAGCCTGTGCAGGAAAGTCCATGAGACTTATCTCCAGTGAACCACCAAGAAAGCCAGAAATGGAGTTATGGCTCAAGTGGTAGAATGCCAGCCTTGAGCAAAAACTCTTAGGGGCAACACCCAGGCCCTGAGTTCAAGCCACAGGACACACGCATGCGCACAGAAATATGAAACCATGATTATTGGTCCCAACATGTCCTGAGTTAGGACAAAGCATGGTGGCTTCCAGCTAGATCTGCCGTATAGCTGAGGTTATGGCTCCGGGGCCTTCTATGACTCCACCAGGCCTCTGGCCTCTGGTTTGTTGGTCCTTGTTGGCCATCTTGAATATAAGCTTGTAAAATTAAGGGATACAAAATAGGTCTGGAGGCCTTGTTGGGCACATTTCTTTTCTGTACCCATCTTGGGGGTTGAACTCAGGGCCTGGGTGATGCTTCTGAGCATTTCTTTACAAGGCTAGTGCTCTACCCATTGAGTCACAGCTCCATTTTGGGGCTTTTGGGTGGTTAATTGGAGATACAGACTCACAAGTGTTCCTGTCTGGGCTGGATTTGAGTCACTTCTGTCTCTTTGCTGGTTAATTGAAGATAAGAATCTATAAATTTGTCCTGCCCTGACCAGCTTTGAACCTCAATCCTCAGATCTCAGCCTCTTGAGTAGCTAGAATTTCATGCATGAGCCATGGTTCTCTGTTTCATTCTTTTACTTTTTCTTTTTCTTTTTTTCATCAGTCCTGGGGCTTGAACTCAGAGCCTGGGCGCTGTCCCTGAACCTCTCTGTGCTCAAAGCTAGTGCTGTACTGGAGCTACAGCACCACTTCCAGCTTTTTCTGAGTAGGTCATTGGAGATAAGAATCTCATGGACTTTGCTGCCCAGGCTGGCTCCTCCGAACTGAGATCCTCAGATCTTAGCCTCCTAAGTAGTTAGGATGACAGACCTGAGCCACAGTGCCTGGCTTCATTCTTGTTCTTTATTCCTAACTTTGGGTGGGGTTTCCTGGCGCAGGGAAGTCTTCTCATCTGAGATGGTCAGCGGTTGTTCCTTGATCTGAATTCAGTCTCCTTGGAGTGGGGACACCCTCCTCAGCCACTGGTCTGTGTTTTGAAAGCCATAGCACACCACAGTGTGTCTGCGTGCGTGTGTGTGTGTGTGTGTGTGTGTGTGTGTGTGTGTGTGTGTGTGTGTCAGAGCCAAGCCTGCTCCCTAAGCAGGCTCAGTGGTCAGGAACTGTGTGGCCTGGTGGTCCCTGAGCCCCTCCTGGCCTGGCTGCCATGTGTCACTCGATGCCTCTCTTCCTTCCAGACAAAAGCTTTGATTGATAAGCTCCAAAAGCTTGTATCGTCGGAGGGCAGATTTAAGAATCTCAGAGAAGCCCTGAAAAAGTAAGTTTGGTCATTTTTGTCAATGCCATGCTTAAAACTCACCCCCCACCCTGCCATGCCTGGACACCACGGGAGGTCTGTCTGTCTGTCTGCCTGTCTGTCTCATTGTCTGCCTACAAGACCCTCTACCCTTCCCAGACAACAAAGGCAGGTGAACCTTGCCCTCCACCATCTACCAGTAAATTGAAGTGTTTGGTGGCCTTCCTGGGGGACAGGGACCGCAGAAGGGGTACTAGAGTCCCCCGTAGCAGCACAGCTGTGGGGATGACTCATTCAACTCTCAAATGCACCTTCCTTCCCCTCCCTCTCCCCCTCCCCCTTTTCTCCTTCCTCCTCTCCCTCTTCTTCTTTATCTTTTCCTTTCCTCTTCCTCCTCTCCCTCCTCTTCCCCCTCCTCCCCCTCCCCCCTTCTCCCTCTTCTCCCTCTTCCTCTCCCTCCTCCCCTTCTTCCTCCTCTCCCTCTTTTCCTTCTTCCTTCCTCCTTCTCCTTCTTTTTTGTATTTGGAATGGGTTCAGGGATGGTGGCTCATGCCTGTGATCCCAGCTACTCAGGAGGCCAAGAGAGGATGGCTACAGTCCAAAGGCCAACCCAGGCAGTGAACACTCAAGACTCTATATGAGAAAAGGAAATCTAAAAGCAAAAGGCCTGGGATATGGCTCGGGTCATAGAGCCCCTTATCCAGTTAGCACAAGGCCCTGCCTCCAATTCTAGAGCCCTAGGAAGGAAGGGAGGAAGGGAGAGAGTTCAGCAGCACCATGCTGGCTTTCCTGGCCGCTGCACAGTTACCCCTGTGCTGCCTGTAGGGTGGGTCTCGCCCCTTCCTGGCTTGCTCGTGAATTGTTTGGAGGGAGGGCTGTCGTGTGGGCCCCAGCCCCTCCCCACAGGAGGCTGTCGGCCTCTTCCGACGGGTGACTGTCAAGACATTCTCTAGACATTGTCCCACCACCCTCTTCACATCTTCTTCCTCCAGACAAAAGTAGTGGCTGTGCCAGTGTCCTGTGGCTGCCATGGTTAGAGCCCAGACATGCCCAAGCCAGGGAAGTTGTGTCTGTCTTGGGCAGCCCACGAGGTAGGGCAGCCATGAGAACTTGGTGGTCACCCTGCCAAGAAGCCAGGCCCCACAAGGAATCCATCAGCAGATCTCTCCTTGCCTGGCAGGCTCTTCCCTTGACCTCGAGAGTCCCTGGGGGACCCCTGGGGTGCCGACTCCTCCCCACTTCCTCCAGAGACCTCACAGCCACGGGACACCCCGCTGAGGCCGGGCAGCCCCTGACCGTGGCCGTGACGCCCTGCCCACCCTGACCCGGCCAGCCTCGCGCGCTCCCTCCCTCCCACCTTCCTGCCCCCCATCCTCCATCCCCCGCCCCCCATCCTCCATCCCGCAGTCCGCGTGCCATCGCCTGACCATCGCCATTTTGTTTGTGTCCTCAGAGTCTGTTACCCACCTGTACCTCCCGGCCGCCCCCTCCGCCCGGGCTCCCCGGAGCCCCCGTGGACTGTGCTTGTGGGGACCCCCTCCACACCGCACACACCAACTGCCTGCCCAGCCCTGCCGGGCGCTGGGTCACCCTCCTCTACCGCACAGCCACCACTGCACCTCACGGCCTCCGTGGTCCATTCTGTCCGAGTCCCCTCCCGACTGTCCCGGGGCTGTGTAAGTGCCTCCTTCATCACCCTCCCCGCAGCCAGTGGCGTGGCAGGGGCAGCCCGGGCGGCTGGGAGCTGAGCGCTTCACACCAGCCAGGTGTGGCCGCGTAGAGAAAGGGGCAGTGAGCCCCTCGGTGCCCATCTTCCGGGCTCTGACTTTGTTCCTGACCAGGGACAGGGGCAGGAGAAGCTAGGTGACAGTCGCATGCTGCCCACAGCCCACCCTGACACGGAGCCCCGTGCTGAGCCCTGCAGGAACAGCCTTGGGCCCCCTCTCTGTGGCCTGGGCATCTTCTGGAACCTGTCCCTAAAAAAACCTGTCCCCACAGTCAGGCGCCATGGCTCACGCCTGTAATCTCAGCTACTTTGGATGCTGAGATCTGAGGAGCATGGTTCAAAGCCAGCCTGGGTGAAAGTAGGTGAGACTTATCTCCAGTTAACCAGGAGGAAAAAAAAGCTGGAATTGGAGGTGTGGCTAAAGTGGTAGAGCACCAGCCTTGAGTAGAAAAGGCAAACTGAGGGGCTGGGAAGGTGGCTCAGTGGTAGAGCGCTTGCCTTGCATGCCTGAGGCCCTGGGTTCGATTCCTCAGCACTACATAAGCAAAAAGAAAAAAAGCCGGAAGTGGTGCTGTGGCTCAGGTGGTAGAACGCTAGCCTTGAGCTGAAGAGCTGAGGGACAGCACCCAGGCCCAGAGTTCAGGCCCACGACCGGACCCAAAAAAAAAAAAAAGAAAGAAAAGGCAGACTGGGGAGAGAGTGAGGTCCTGAGTTCAAGCACTAGCACCGAAATCTACAAGGCCCTGGACCCAAGCCTTAGTACTGCCCCCATTTCCTGCTCTTTGATACTGTTCTTTTTGTTGTTGTTGTTGTTCGAGTCCTAAGGCTTGAACTCAAGGCCTGGGCTCTGTCTCTGAGCTGCATTTGCTCAAGGCTAGCACTCTCCAATTAAGCCACAGCGCCACTTCTGCCTTTTTCTGTGTGTGTGGTACAAAGGAATCTAACCCAGGGCTTCATGTATGCTAGGCAAGCACTCTACACTAAGCCATACTCCCAGCCCAATACTGTACTGTTTTAATTTGATCTGTGCCTTCCAAGGTAGGAGAACTTCAGCCTCAGGCCATGCAGGACCCTCCCTAAGAAGCTCTGAGTGCTGCCACCCTTAACCATCTGCCTTTTTATTAAAACTGGGCACCACAGTTTACACCTGTAATCCCAGTAACTTGATAACTGAGATTGGGAGGATCGTGGTCCAGAGCTGGGCACTGTAGCTCATTCTTGTAATCCCAGCTATTTGAGGAGGGAGATCTGGAAGATCTCAGTTCAAGGCCAGCCTGTCCCAAAGTTAGCATGACTCCATCTCAATCAAAAGCAAAGTGTGGTAGAACAAGCCTGTCATACAAGCTACATGGAAAGTCATAGGATTGCAGTCCAAGCCCCCCTGGGTGAAAACTCAAGACTCTACCTGAAGAAAAATAAACAGCAAACAGAAAGTGCCAGGAGTAAGCCACACACTGGTGGCTCACGCCTGTCATCCCAGCTACTCAGGAGACTGAGATCTGAGGGTTGCCAGGCAGGAAAAGTCCATGAGACTCTTTTTTTTTTTTTTTTTTTTGGGTCCGGTCGTGGTGCCTGAGCTCTGGGCCTGGGCGCTGTCCCTCAGCTCTTCAGTTCAAGGCTAGCACTCTACCACCTGAGCCACAGCACCACTTCCGGCTTTTTTTCTTTTTGCTTATGTGGTGCTGAGGAATCGAACCCAGGGCCTCAGGCATGCAAGGCAAGCGCTCTACCACTGAGCCACCTTCCCAGCCCTCCATGAGACTCTTATCTCCAATGAACTACCAGAAAACTAGAATTGGCACTGTGGCCCAAGTGGTAGAGTGCTAGCCTTGAACAAAAAGGAGCTCAGGGACAGTGCCCAGGTCCAAAGTTCAAGGCCTACAACCAAATAAATAAAGTGCCAGGAGTGTTAGCAAACAAAAGGCCCTGAGAGTAAACTCTGGTGCTGCCAGAAAACTTTTTTTTTTTAACTTAAGAAAGAAAAAAATTAGAGAAAGTCATCTGTCCTTTGTTTCCCTAACACCAATTATCCATCTTCATCGCACTGCCCAGCCACTTGCCAGGCACTGGGGATCATGCCTATAACCCCAGCTACTCAGGAGGCTGAGGTCAGGGGGGTCACAGCTTGAAGGTATCCAAGCAGACAACTCAAAAAGACTATTACCTCCAATTGGGCTGGGAAGGTGGCTTAGTGGTAGAATGCATGCCTAACATGCATGAAGCCCTGGGTTCAATTCCTCAGTACCACATACACAGAAAAAGCCAGAAGTGTCACTGTGACTCAGGTAGTAGAGCTAGCTTTGAGCAAAAGAAGCTCAGAGACAGTGCCCAGGCCCTGATCAAGCCCCAGGACTGGCAAAAGAAAAAGAAAAGAAAAAGTATGGGATAAACAAACCAGTGTAAGCCAAGCGCTGGTGGCTCACACCTGTAATCCTGTAAACTTAGGAGGCTGAGATTGAGGATCACGGTTCAAAGCCAGCCTGGGCAGGAAAGTCTCTTATCTCCAATAAACCACTAGAAAACCAGAAGTGGTGCTGTGGCCCAAGCAGTAGAGCACAGGGACAGCACCCAAGCCCAGAGTTCAAGCCCCACGACTGACCAAAAAAAAAGTGCTATTAAATTCTGTTTCAATATTGATTTATTGTTTTAAAAAGAGAAGTGGATGAAGTGAATTGACCAGAGCATCACTACAATGGTTTTCTCATTTGTTTGTTTTAGGGGGGCTTGTTTGTTCACGCATGCATGTGCACACGCACACACGTGCACACATGCACAAGCATGCACTAGTCCTAAGGCTTGAACTCAGAACCTGAGTGTTGTCCTTTAACTTTTTCGCTCAAGACGGGTACTCTACCTTTTGAACCACAGCTCCACTTCCAGCTTTCGGGTAGTTAAATGAATAAAATTGTCTCACAGATTTTCCTGCCCGGGCTGGTTTTGAAGCTAGATCCTTAGATCTCAGCCTCTTGAGTAGCTAGGATTACAGGTGTGAGCCACCAGGGCTCAGCACATGCAAGACTTTTTGATGCTTGAGGAGAAGAAGTGATATCTCTCCTTCCTTACCACATACATCGATGCTATTCAGCATGGCTCTGCACCTAGCACTTAAAATCAGCTTGCAGATGGCCTAAAATTGGCCTTGCTGGCATCCCATACTCTGTTATCTATGGAAGCCTGAGAACCAGAGAGGGAAAGGACTGGCCTAAGGTCACACAGCAAACCCATGAGGAACTACCACCCTCCCTGCCTCACCTTCCCCAGCCTGGCTGGGTCATCTAAGTGGGGCAAGGGAGATGAGCCAGGATGGAGGGTGACCTGCCTGGCCCCCCATGGGTGCTGAGAGGACAGGAGGCTTCCAAGAACCCTGGAGAAGCTAAAAGAACCCTCATCTCCAAGCCCTCCTGGAGAGCCAGTAAAGCTTGCAGGGACAGGAGCCCCAGCCGGTAGCCACCCAGCAGAGAGGCGTAGCCTGTGCAAATGACACCACAGGACCAACGCCTCCTGCTCTGGTCCCCAATCTACGCGCCTCCCAGGCCGGTGGCAGTCACCGAGGGCTAGGCTATAGTCCCTGCAGAGAGACGAGCCCCAGGGCACAGGCAACGGACTGAGGCCAGAGACAACAGGAGGCGAGGTTGATGGGCTCACCCCAGCTTGTGCAAGACCCCACGGCCCCCAGAAGATGGGGCACCCCACAGCCCGGCCCACCCTTCTAGGCCTGGTATCTAAGTCCCTGGGACACAAGACCCTCCTGGCCTTGGAGGCCACCCAGACCTGCATGCAGGGGTGAGGGGTGGGGACACTTGCTCTTCCCAAAGCGCTCCTTTGACCAAGGGCAAAACCTTTGTGAATGCATTTGTTTCCAAGTTGTGACCCACCCTGCGTCCCTTACCTGGGCATGTACCTCACCGACCTGGCCTTCATCGAGGAGGGGACACCCAACTATACCGGGGACGGCCTGGTCAACTTCTCCAAGATGAGGATGGTGAGTTTGTCCAGAGCCGGGCAGGGCAGGCGGCATGCAGACCCAGACGCCACCTCCCCAGGCCCTCGCAGCCAGAGGCCGGCTCCTCCCGCCAGATCCCTCACAGCCGGGGCTCACGCCTGTCATCCTAGCTGCTCAGGAGGCTGAGATCTGAGGGTCGAGGTACAAAGGCAGCCCAGGCAGGAAAATCCTTTAAGACTCTCCTCCCCGATGAACCAGCAAAAATCTGCAAGTGGAGCTGTGGCTAGAGCGATAGAGCACCAGCCTTGAGTCAAGCCCTTGTACTGACACCAAAAAGTGTTATTTCCATTCGTCTTGTCCAGTACTGTCCTGGAGGAATCCCCAGGGCCCCCCCCCCACACACACACACACGGTAACAAGCACACAGCAGGCCCCAGATGCCTTTCACGTTGGCAGTGTTGGGTGGGTTGTGCTTTGGCGAAACCGGCCTGGGGAGGCTTGGTAAGCCCGGCTTCCTGCCCGTGCCCCGTCCCTCGGCGCCATGGGTAGCCCAGAGAAAGCTGGAGTCTCGCCCTCTCTTCTACAGATATCCCACATCATCCGGGAGATTCGCCAGTTCCAGCAAACTGCATACAAAATAGAGCACCAGGCCAAGGTAAGTGGCCCGAGGGTGTCAGGAGAGCTTCTGCCCTTAGTCCTTAGCTTCCATGCCAGCCCAGGTCCCCTTCCTGAAGCCCGGTGGCCTAGCCCAGCTCCCAGCTTTGCTCCCTGCAAAGAGTAGATCAGAAATAACCTGACCCTTCAAATCAGAGCTATGTTGGAAGTGGAGCTGTGGCTCAAGAGGTAGAATGCCAACCTAGAGCAAATACCAAAAACAAGGAAAGGCCTTGAGCTCAAATCCCAGGACCAGCAACAAAATAAATGCATAAATAAAGGAATAGGTTTGCTTGATTTTTCTCTAGCACCTATCAGAAGATTCACACACGTAAGAAAGAAATACCTCTTGTGTGTGCCAGTACTGGGGCTTGAACTCCAGGCCCTGAATTCTCCCTTAGTTTTTTCTCTCCCTCACCCCCCACACCACTCGAAACTGGTGCTCTACCACTTGAGCCACTCCTCCACTTCTGGCTTTTTGCTGGTCCATTAAAGAGTCTTTTGGATTCATCTTCTCCACCTGGCTTCAGATCTCAGTCTCCTGAGCAATTAGGATGACAGGTGTGAGCCACAGGTGCCAAAAAGAATTGGGGGGGCGTTGTTCAGGGATGTTGGGGCAGGACACATTTCCTTTCTGATGTGTGATTTGAGCCTTGATCTTTGGTGAATGAGCTGGAATTCAGCACAGAGTGAGGTAAGAAGGGAGGACCTGGTCATCCAGGCTGGGGCTGCCTTTCCTTCCTAACTTTGACTGCAGTGTAGGGCCCTGTAGGCCCTAGACACCCTCTCTTCACACTTCCTCTCTGTGGGCCAAGAAGCTCCGCACTCCAAGGCTCAGTGTTTTCAAACACTTGGACACATTGAAAGAATTGTGAATCATCCACCATTTACATTCAACAGTTGCTCTTTCTAATCCTTTCAGTACATAGCCCCAGTCACTTCATTACATGATCAAAGAAATAGCAGTTAAGGGTAATTTTTATCCTGTGTAGTTTAGTACTGCTTTTAAGAAAATACTGAAGGGCTGGGAAGGTGGCTCAGTAGAGCGCTTGCCTTGCATGCATGAGGCCCTGGGTTCGATTCCTCAGCACCACATAAGCAGAAAAAGCCAGAAGTGGCGCTGTGGCTCAAGTGGTAAAGCACTAGCCTTGAGCTGAAGAGCTGAGGGACAGCGCCCAGGCCCAGAGTTCAGGCCCTACTATCAACAACAACAACAAAAAAAAAAAAACTGAGGATGTAGCTCAGTGGTAGAGCACTTGCCTGGTATGCATGAGGCCCTGAGTTCAATAACCAGCAATGCACACACAGAAAGGCAATGCTAAATAAGCAGTCCTAAGAAAGGACTTAGCTTAAATGGTGGCGAACTTGATTAGCAGTGCACAAGACCTTGAGTTCAAACCCCAATTCCACCAAATTAGTTTCCCAAAAACTAATTTACTATTAACACATCTTTGGGATCTTGTTTTTGGTTTTTTGTTTTTGTCGGTCATGAGGCTTGAAACCTGGGCTTGCACGCTGTCCCTCAGCTCAAAGCAAGCACTCTACCACTTGAGCGACAGCACCACTTCCAGTTTTCTCATCATTAATTGGAGATGAGTCTCATGGACTTTCCTGCCCCAGCAGGCTTTGAACCTCAATCCTCAGATCTCAGCCTCCTATGTAGCTAGGATTACAGGCGTGAGCCACCGGCCTTGTTTTTGGTGTTTATGTTTTGTGCCTGTCCTGGGGTTCAAGACTAGGGAGTCATGCTCACACTTGGCTTTTATATTCCAGACTGGTGCTTTACCACGTACGCCACAGCTCTACTTCTGGCTTTTGGCTGGTTGATTGGAGATAAGACACACAGAGGAAGGCTTTGGTGGCTCACACCTGTAATCTTAGCTACTCAGGAGGCTGAGTTTTGAAGTTCAAGATTCAAAGCTAGCCTGGATAAGAAAGTCCAAGAGGGCTGGGAATGTGGCTTAGTGGTAGAGTGCTTGCCTAGCATGTATAAAGCCCTGGGTTCCATTCCTCAGTACCACATACACAGAAAAAGCCAGAAGTGGTGCTGGGGCTCAAGTGGTAGAGCAAAAGAAGCTCAGGGACAGTGCCCACACCCTGAGTTCAAGGCCTAGGAGTAGCCAAAAAAGAAGAAGAAAGAAAGTCCAAGAAATTCTTATCTCTAATTAACCACAAATGGTAGAAGGCTAATCTTGAGAAGGGACAGCTTGAACTCAGGCCCTAGTACCAGCACAGAAAGGAACTAATTTTAAAGAGTCACATCAACTTTTCTGTCCAAACTGGCTTTCAACCACGATCCTCCGCTCTCAGCCTCCCAAGTGGCCAGGGTATCGGGCATGAGCCCCCAGCTCCAGGCTGGTTATTTTCTTTCTTCAGGTAACCCAGTATTTGCTGGACCAGTCAGTGGTCTTGGATGAAGAAAGTCTGTACGAATCTTCTCTCCGCCTGGAACCCAAGCTCCCGACCTGAGGCTGCGCGAGGCCGCTCAAGAACACTTGCTCGCTGCTCTGCGCTGTACATACTCGTCCTCCGGTGTCTCGGGCTCGCCTCCAAGTCTCTGCTTCTTCAAGACTTCATTCTATCCTGCTCCTTAGATTCCTGTAGAGCTGGAATAGGAACTTCTGCCCGCCACCCCCCCCAAGAAAAACCTCCCCCACCCCCTCCCCAGCCCCCCTCCTGCAGTGCCTGCTCTTCAAACTGCTGCCCCCCCCCAACCCCCTCCCAGCCCCCCGTCACCCCACCCAGAAGAGAAGACACAGTCCTCCGCGCCCGCTAACCTCACCTCTCCCCAGCCCTCCCTGGGAGGGAGGGAGGGAGGGATGAGGGGGGCAGGCCGCCTTCCAGCATGTTCCGTGTACTTGTCATTCCTGGGGGTGGGGGTGGGGGAGGGGAAGGCCATACCCGCAGAGTCCAGTCACTGACGAGTCTCCCCGCCCGCTGACGGTGAACCCCACTTCGTGAAGCAGCTTTTTCAACCCAATCCACAGGTTTCTCTCCCAAGCTCCCCACCCCCATCTTTGTCCCAGGAACCTGGCCAGAAGGAACCACACCCCAGTCACCCCCGGCAGCCCCCCCCAGCACAGGGGCGCCCCACTCGAGATCAACGCCACTATGAGCATGGGAAAAACCACGCCAGTGCCCCCGGGTGAGGGCAGGGGACACTGGCAACCATCAGCAGTCCAGGCAACTTCGGGGGACCCCTGCCCAGTGTCCTCTGGAAGTGGGGTGCACCCTGATGGCCCTGTTCTCCTCGCATGGCCTGGTCGTCTCGAGCAAGCGTGGGTGAGCCACACCCCTGCGAGCCACGCGGCGTGCTCACATCTCCCGTGGTCCTGTCTTCACGCCTCCAGCAGGAATAGAGACCCCTAGTTGCTTATTCTGTGAATAGTATCATCCTTTTATACATTGTACAGTACCGAGAACACAGATGCCCTCCGAAGAGGCAGGCAGGCTCCAGCACGACCGACAGACAGACAGGCAGACGGCTCCGTTGTAAGCAATACCTTAGCAGTATGAGAATTCTCTACCGAGTCCTCCAGTACTTCAACTGACAGCTTGTTTGGAGAAAAAACAAAAACAAAAAAAAAAAGAAATTTCCATTTTTGTAAAAATATATGTTTCCTGATTACCTCTTGCTAATAAATCTATTCTATCTCAGGGTGAACAGCGCCTCTGATGGTTTTCTTTTTCTTTCTTTTTTTCTTTTTTTGTTGGTCATGGGCCTGGGCGTGGGCGCTGTCCCTGAGCTCTTCAGCTCAAGGCTAGCCTTCTACCACTTGAGCCACAGCGCCACTTCCGGCTTTTTCTGCTTATGTGGTGCTGAGGAATCGAACCCAGGGCCTCATGCATGCAAGGCGAGCACTCTACCACTGAGCCACCTTCCCAGCCCCTCTGACGGGTTTCATTGGTCCACTCCATGCAGGCCCTGACATTCTGGGTGATAGGGACCCCACTCCTGCCTTTGGGGAGCTCAATAGGCTGATGAAGAAGGTCAGTTCTTGCCCAGGGAGTTTGGTGGCTAACGCCTGTCATTCCAGTTACTCAGGAGTCTTAAGATTGGAGGTTTGAAGCCAGCCAGGCAGAAAAGTTCAACAGACTCAACCTCCAATGAACCAGCCAAAAAAGTAGGGGAGCGGAGGGGGAGTTGGGAATGTGGCTTAGTGGTAGAATGCTTGCCTAGTGTGCATGAAGCCCTGGGTTCAGTTCCTTATTACCATATAAACAGAAAATGCTGGAAATGGAGCTGTGGCTTACGTGGCAGAGTGCTAGCCTTGAGCAAAAGCAGCTCAGGGACAGTCCCCAAGCTCTGAGTTCAAGCCCCAGGATTGCCCTACCCCTAAAAAAAGCCAGAAGTGGAGCTGTGGTTCAAGTGGTAGAGCATCAGTCTTGAACAAAAAAAAAAAAGACAGCGTCCAGCTCCTGAATTCAAGCCCCAGTTCTACACCTTCTCTCCCCTAAAAGAACTGAGAATCGTGGTTCAAAGTCAGCTGGGCAAGAAAACGTCCATGAGATTCTATTTCCAGTTAAACAGCAAAACTGCTGGGTTAGAGTATGGCTCATGTGGTAGAGTGCCAGCTTTGAGTAAAACAGTCAAGTGAGAGAGCTTGACGCCCTGAGTTAAATCTTCAGTATCAGAAAAGAAAAAAAGTTTTTAAAAAAAGAAGTGCCAGTGGCTTGTGCCAGTCAACGCAGCTACTCATGAAGCTAAGATCTGAGGATTGCTGTTTGAAGCCAGCCCAAGCAGGAAAGCCTCTGAGACGCTTATCTCCAATGAACCACTAGAAAAACCATATGTGGTGCCATGGCTCAAAGTGGTAAAGCGCTAGCCTTACGCTGAAGAGCTCCGGGACAGTGCCCAGGCCTGGAGTTCCAAGTCCCAGACAAACAAAAAAATAAAAAAGGAGTATATCTGCTGGGGCTGGGCTCAAGTAGTAGAGCACAGACTCTCCTAGCCCAGACCACCCCCAAAACGACCTGATGAGAATGGTGAGCCCCCACACCTGAGGCAGGGCTTGGTGGCCTCTCAGGAACCAGACCCCTTCTTCCAAGGGTGACAGACTGGAGAAAACATCAACCAATCACACTTTGCCAGCGACTGCTTAATTATGCAGGCCCCACCCCCAGCCTTTAAATTTAAACCACCACCACAATCCCCTCCCCAATGCACTGAAGTAACTATCCTCCCTCAGCTTCTCCCACTGCCCAGGCCATGAATATGCCTTTGTCAGCATTGCTGTCTCTATTTGGTGCATTGGGGCAAAAAGTCAGGCCTGACCTGTTGGGTCACCTTCCAGTCCCAGAGTTGAATCTCTAGCCTAAGGCTCTGATGACACATGAGACAGTGCACACTTGTGAAATTAAAATATACTGGAGGCACGGAAGGAAATACAGTTTAAAAAGAAAACAGCTGGGCACTGGTGGCTCATGCCTGTCATCCTAGCTACTCAGGAGGCTGAGATCTGAGGATCATGGTTCAAAGCCAGCCCGGGCAGGAAAGACCCTGAGACTCCTATCTCCAATAAACCACTAGAAAACCGGAAGTGGCGCTGTAGCTCAAGTGGTAGAGCGCTCGCCTTGAGCTGAAGAGCTGAGAGACAGCGCCCAGGCCCAGAGTTCAAGCCCCACAACCAACCAAAAAAAAAAAAAGGGCTGGGATGTAGCTCAGTGGCAAAGCACATGCCTAGCAAGTGCAATGTCCTGGGTTCAATCGCTAAAGTTAAAACACAAAATAAAATAGCTGGGCACTGGTGGCTCACTCCTGTCAACCTAGCTACTCAGGAGGCTGAGATCAGAGGATTGCAGTTCAAAGCCAGCCCAGGCAGAAAAGTTCCCATGAGACTCTTATCTCCAATTAACCACTCAAAAACCAGAAGTGGTGCCATGGCTCAAAGTGGCTCAGGGACAGTGCCTAGTCCTGAGTTCAAATCCCCAACCAACCAAAAATAAAATACGCCAGAGGCAGAGTGAAGAGAACTAAGAAGACAATAACCAATGAAATGAGGTTGCCAGGTACAAGTTGTCCACACCTGTAATCCTAGCTACTGAGGAAGCTGAGATCTAAGGATCATGGTTCAAAGCCAGCCTGAGGGGCTGGGAAGGTGGCTCAGTGGTAGAGTGCTTGCCTTGCATGCATGAGGCCCTGGGTTCAATTCCTCAGCACCACATAAGCAGAAAAAGCCAGAAGTGGTGCTGTGGCTCAAGTGGTAGAATTCTAGCCTTGAGCCGAAGAACTGAGGAATAGCACCCAGCCCCAGAGTTCAGGCCCCACAACATACAAAAAAGAGATAAAAACACTAGCCCTTGAACAAAAGAAGTATCTAGGCCCTGAGTTCAAGCCCCAGAAATGGCTAACATAATTAAATAAATAAATAAGCCAGTGGCTAGTCCAGGAAGTTAACCACAAATTCCAGACCAAAGTATCTGGGGTATAATCCCACACAGGCTCCCTCCTGCATGGGTGAATTCCAGTTTGTGCAATCAGATCGTTATGGGACCTTATTATGCCATCACCAATGGTATCTGTTTACTGAGCAATTAGTTTCCATGCTTAGAACAAATGACTCATGACCCAGAAACCACCAAGAATCATTTCTCTCTGCCAGGAAGGGCTGGTGGTGACAGCTCACTCAAGGCTTTCCTCTCCATTCAGCCTTCTGTTGGGCCTGGGACTTCTCCCAGAGGCCCAGGAGCCCATTCTCCTTGTGCCCCAACAGCCTTGGGCCCACCCACAATTCCTTGCAACCAAATTATGCCCATGATCCTCCAGAGCCAAGCTCAGCCCTGGAGTTTACTCCTTGGGGACCCAAAGTCCATGCACTATCTGGGTCAGTGGGGACTCAGGGTTGCCTGCTGTGGGGGTGGGGCAGGCCGGCAGAGTGCCAGGCTCCGGGCTTAATCTGGAGCATGCAGGTTCCCCTTCCAGCCCCAGCATAAGAGGCAACCCAAAGCTGGCCCTTCCTCTGGCCCACCACCAGAGGCTTATGCCTCTGAAATCTGTTCCAAGCCAGCCCGGAAAGGAAAGTCCATGAGACTATTATCTCCAGTTAATCACAAGAAAAGCAGAAGTAGAGCTGTGGCTCCAGGGGTAGAGGGCCCAGATCATGAGTTCGAGCCCCAGGACTGGTGCCCAGGCATGCGTGTACACGCACAAACGTAGCTGCAAGTAACCTGATATGAACCACTGTGTGTTGTCCCAACGTTCTGGCTGTCTGTCTGAGGCCCTCAGAGGACAAGCCATGTGTCAGTTTACATAAGGAATCAGTAATAGGATTAGAACATTGATTGTCCAACTTACCAAACCCCCCGGGCGAGGGCTGAGATCTTCCCAGAACAGCTGGAGGCGGCAGGGAGGGGTCAGGAAAGAGGACAAACCCCTCCTCCTGAGGACAAGGGGAATTCACTTGGCAAATAGTCACTGGCCTGGAGCAGAAAAAGCCAAGTGAAACTGGGCTCCCGTGGCTCTCTCCTATCAACCTAGCTACTCAGCAGGCTGAGATCTGAGGATCACAGTTCAAAGCCAGCCCCTGCAGGAAAGTCCGTGAGACTCTTATCTCCAATGAATCAGCAAAGACTGGAAGAGGTGTGGCTC